ACCTCCGACCCCCACCAATAGACTCACTAACATCCCCCACCAAAAGCCCTAACCTTCCCCACCTCATTAGCCCACCAATCGTCGTCGCCAACCCCTTAGAGTTTTGCGCGATTGTCACACCTCTCTTGCCAAATTCTGGTCAATCTTGGCATTGGAAATCACCCCCGTCCCCGCCAACTACATCGTCGACACCCCCTCCAAAAGCCCCAACACCTTGACCTCGATTGCTCACCATTTGTCATCCACCACTCTCTTAGGGTTTCGCTTGATTGATGAAATTAGGTTTGATTGGAGGTTGATTTGGAGTTGATTTTTACTAGAGATTGGTTTTTTGGAGTGTTTGTGTGTTTGTTGGCTGTTTGCAGATTTTTCTGGTAACACTTTCATTATTGACGACCACCAAATTCCCTACCCCCAAATCGTGCCCACCAATTGCTCAACCTATTGCCCCAACCAACAACTAGCCAACCCAACGCCAACACCCTACTGCAAGCCCACCTCCGTTGCACTTCCTTAGTCCCTGGCCAACATATTATTTGTGTGCTCCCGCCTCATTGACGCACTGCCACCCATTAGCACAGTCATTTGCTGGACTTGGTGTTGCGTTTCGTTTGCCAATGGTGTTGGTGTTGGTGTTGGTGTTGGTGGCGGAGAGGAAGAATTGGGTACTTGAGTTGTGAGAAAATTTGAGATGTGAAGGGTTCTGAAATTTTACTAATTTTTGGGACTGAAAGACAATAGGGTTTACTTTCTTTGGACAAAAAGACATAAATACCCTTTGATCGTTTCATTAAATGATTTTATTTTTATTTAAGGGTGGGAATCTAGAATTTATGAAACCAAAGGTGGGCACTTGCAGATTCGAAAAACTTTGGGTGCGAACATGTCGTTTACTCTTGTTTGAATAAGAAGCATGCTTCTTCCTTTTGATAAACGGTTCAAGGAAAGATAGGCAAAATTTGTCAATTCCTTTAAAAGATGATAAATGTTTTGTAGAAGAATTACTTTATATAATCTCTTTTTTATTATTATTATTAATAAAAAAAAATCATTGACTTTTGGGGAATTTTTTTTGAATAATTTATCTTAGTAGTAAATTAATACTTTTTAGTAATAGGGAAATTCATTATCTGGTTCGATTTGGTTTACCATGTTTTTTTTATTTTTTGGCCACCCCTAATAGGTAAATCCATTCCCTCTATTTATTTGGAGATAAATAAATAAAGGTAAAGTATTTGGGTGTTTATTTTTTAATCACCATTGGTTATTCAAGTAACTCCCATTCAACAAAATATATAATGTAAGAAAAATACTACATATACAACATTTCTTATACAACACGATCTCACAAAAAATGATTGGCTAATTTTAAATTAAAAATAAACTTTCACCCAATCATTTTTTGGTACATCATGTTGTATAAGAAATATTGTATGTGTAGTATTACTCTTAATATAATTCCAAGATTACCCTTTCTTTTCAAATTTTTACATTTTGAGGTATGTTAGATTGTTGAAAATTTTGAGTTAAAAAGGAGAAGAGATGGGGCTATTTTTTTTTTTTTTTAATGACTATAAGTGTTTGAGTCAACTTGCACGTACCTCAACTAATCTTTAAGAGCTTAGAACTATCGTCCAAATAAAAGCTCTAGTGATCATTCCTATTAGGGGCTATAGAGACTCAAACTTGAAAGATCATATTAAATTCTCTTCTTACTCTTTTACCATCAAGAAGACTCGAACTTGAGAAATTATATTAGATCCTCCTTTGTTTTTTTACGATTAGGTTAGCTAGTGGTAAGTAAAATGTTTTGGAGGGTGAAATGGGAGTGAGCGACCGAGTCTTTTGCTAGATATATTTGGTAAGAGAAGTGGGTTCATTTTCTCGAAAAAATTGAGAGGGAGCAAGAGCAATGGTCAACTAAAAGGTGGAATCAATAGCTATTGAATTCTTCTTCTTCTTCTTCCTCTTCATGTGCCATCCTCCTATCATCAACCTTTTTCATGTTGGAGCTTCTTTTTGGTTTCAAGCCTACAATCGTGTTATAAGTAAAGCTAATATAATGCTGCATTTTGTTAATTACTAATTAATTAGTTTTAATTCTTGTATGCTTCCAATGCGATAAGACCTTTTCTACTAGAAGGATTGCAAAGTAAATAACCTAATATTTGTTAGTGTTTGAAACAACTGACTTGTCGTCTGCAAACAAGATGTCATTCTTGCAGTCGTACCTCAACCACTCTTTGAGAATGACATGTCATGCGCCCTAAGCAGCAGGATATTTACACTTTCATCCATAAGGTTTATGGTTTGTTGCAATCTGTCTTGTTAATATGAAATGTAAACATTTTAGTCTTCTCAGAAGACTACCCGATGGAGAAGAAGCCCACAAAAATTTCAAAATTTACTTAGAAATTTGTCAATTTGATCCCCATAAATTCAATTTTTCACACTTTGACCACCCCAAGTTTTAAACTTAATACTTTGAATCCTGTAAATATAAGTTCCTATTATATTATGTGACCCCTCTATCATTGAAAGATAGATTTTGCCCTTGTAGAATAGATTTTTTGGCTTTGCCCTGTGACTAACATTAGTATTCTTGGCTCACTTTCTTAAGACCAAATGGATTTTTGAAGTTTTCAAAAACCTTTTATGGTGAACCTCAAGGGGTTAGCCTGACGGTTAAGAAGTTTTGCTCCATTCATTGATTTCCTGAGTTCCAACCATCTTGGGACCACTTACCACATTTGTGACTTATCTTGGAATATTAGTTTTGTTGGGTGTTCAATGGGCCTCAGATATTAGTTGAGGTGTTAATGATCATATGACAGGATTAAAGTGTTTGTATATTATAATATTGTGGCATTGTGCAACATACTTCAAACCATAAGTATAAAAGTGTAAATATCCATTTTCTTGAGCTTTTAAAATGTTTTATTTTATCATTTATTTTTTCTATATTAAAGCTAATAACCCATATCAGATATTCTTTTCTATTCTTGATTGGTGTATGATTTGAAGTTTTCAAAGGGTGTATGTTTGTTAGATTGACACATATTAACATTATACCCTTTAACCGGATGCTTATCTGGTTATAATAAGAATAGATATAGATATAAGTATATTTAGCTAATTTTTGGAATTTTTCTTCTTCACCCGGTCATTTCTATCTTCAGCACCTTCTCCAGCTCTTTCTATCTCTAATTCTTCAATAATTCTTTTGGAAAACTTACAACTTACATTACCCGCTTGATTTGTGTCTCGATGGTAAAATCTTAGGTTATCCCGAGATCTTTTATTTGAGTCCCACCTACTGGACTTGCAAGAACATTTCTAATGATGTTTTATATTTTAAAAAGAATTAATAAATAAAAGGTATAAAAACTTATATTTTATTAATTAAAATTATAATTGAGTAAAATTTGACTCTTTAGATGTGAAAAGTCAAACTCACTTTTTAATTTATATTTAAAGAATAAAGAGTATGTTGGACTCTTATTTTTATAGATAAACTCTTTATAATATAGGGTTTAGATCCTATAAACTAGTGGCGGATCCAACCACTTTTTGGGTGGGCCCTCAAATTTTTTTTTTTTAATATTAATATGTATAATTTATATATTGTGGCCCACCCTAATAAAAATATTAATGGATAAAAATAGTAATGTATAATAAATTTTTATTTTGGCCCACCCTAAAAGAAATTCCTGAATCTGCTACTGATATAAACAGTCTTTTGGGGATGCACTAAGATGTTCAATAGACCTTGAAAATCAATCGAAGTGCATGCTAGCTATCCTGGATACCCAGGTCACAAAAAAAGACTATTAATTGCATCATCATCTATTTATAATTAAAAATAATTACAATAATAAAATCTCTTTTTTTTTAAGAAAAAAAGAAAATAAAGGTTACTGTGTCTATTCACGTGTATTTATTCGGTAAAGCCACCGAGATTTTGCAAATGCAATTCTAATTTTATATTATTTGCGTTGGCACAACATATTGGGCCACAAAGATTACAATAATTGATACTTGCAATAATACAATATTCTTCCATTAATTAACTAGTTAATCCAATTTCTTAATCTCAAAATTTAATTAACATTTTTCTAATTTATTCCAATGCAATTTTTTTTTTTATTATATTAAAAGAGTAAACAACTTTTTCCCACTCAAGGTTTTCCCTAATGACACTTTCCACCATTTTTCCATCCAAAGTTTATATTTCGTTAATATCTAAAATACACTTGGCTTTCTCAGTCAACGTTCGATGAGTTACTAGGAGCTAGGATAGGAAGGGCTTTTTAGCGTGGAGGCCGGTGGATTTAATGGTGGTAACCGATTGAATATTCGTCGCTGCAATCAACTAAGAATAGAAAACTCTAGCTTTGCGGTGGCCGACAATCAGCAAGAAATTAGATGTTGAAGTCACAGCGATTTTGTAAAGAGAAGACTTAAAGTTCAAATGGTGGTGACGAAGAGAATTTTCGTCGTTGAAATCAATTTTCGGTGGTAACAGAATATTAACTTTAGATGGAAAAATAGTATTTTGAAACTTTTTAGGTGAGAAAGTGTCATTAAGGCAAACCTTGGGTGGGAAAAAGTCGTTTACTCCATTAGAAATTTTGATCAATCCCACATTTATTATAACACAAAAAAACTTATTTATGAATTAAAATATTTTCTTTAGTGAAGATATTTTAAAAATATATTTTCAAAAATACAAATATTAATTATTAAGATATTTTTGTTGTAGGTGATGATAATGAAATTTTTTATGTAAAAGGTAAAAAGGAAAAGAGAAAAAACCCAAGTGTATGGCCCAGATGAAACGACAAGAAGCCAACCTGTGTGAGAGCCCCCACGAAAGGAGTCGGTGCCAACTGCCAAGTGGTAGGAGTAGGACCTACAAAACCCATAATCAACCGTTAGTTTAAATCCAACGGCTCAACTTCATCTCTGCCGATTGTTTCATCTATTAACTAAATTTTTTCCTTTCATGTAAACATAACAACGTTCTCAACAACGGCGCACGACAAAACAGAGAAAGAGAGGCTCTGTTTTTGAGATACAGACGAGAGGAAGAAGAAAGGGAGAGATATGAGGGAGATTATAAGCATTCATATAGGACAGGCTGGGATTCAGGTTGGGAATTCTTGTTGGGAGCTTTACTGTCTTGAACATGGCATTCAACCTGATGGAACGATGCCTAGGTTTGGTTTCTGTTCAATTTTCCCAACTGGGTTTCTTTTGTTTTTGCGATTGTTTTTCATTTTAGTTTACTGTTGAAATGATTTTAGGTTTTGAATGAATTGGGTTTTTATGAAAGTTTGATAGATTTTGGTTTTTTTAAGAATGGAAATGAAGTAAATGATTTGATTGAATTTCGTCAATTGGATTGCTTTTGGCTTTAGTTTTTCTCTGTTGAATGAATTTGGAATTTATTTCTTTCATGTTAAGAGGTTTCTGTCTTTGCTTTCTGGGGTTCTTCGTTAAATAAATTTTCCCTGTAGAATTTGATGCTCTGGAATGTATTGGATTGAAACCAGATATTGAATATAGCAACGCAGACATTAAATCCAATGTCGTGCAATCAAAAATCTGGCATATATATCATATACTTTTGAAACTCTCTTCATTTGTTAATTGATATGCAGTCAGGCCTAGCAAATTGACCTTGAATTGTTTGGTAACAGTTGTTTGAATAAAACATTAGTTAGAATTCCCTTGTGCAGGCTATTATAAATTTGTGTTATAAAGTTAACTTGTTCCTTATTTTTTCTCAATATTTTCTTAGAAATTAACGATTCTCTTCGTGCTTTCTTGCAGTGACACCTCTGTAGGTGTTGCACAGGATGCCTTCAATACCTTCTTCAGTGAGACCGGTTCTGGCAGCCATGTGCCTAGAGCTATATTTCTTGATCTGGAACCCACTGTCATCGATGAAGTTAGAACTGGAGCATACAGACAACTTTTTCACCCTGAGCAGCTTATTTCCGGCAAGGAAGATGCTGCCAATAACTTTGCAAGAGGACACTATACAGGTAATGTATACTATTCCAATGTCAAAACGGCAATTTTATTAGAAGCTGATATATTGGCTAAGCTGCATTGTTAGTAACTCTTTGCTGCAGTGGGGAGAGAAATTGTTGATCTTTGCCTTGATCGCGTGAGAAAATTAGCTGACAATTGCACTGGTTTACAAGGATTTCTGGTATTTAGTGCCGTTGGTGGTGGCACTGGTTCTGGTTTGGGTTCTTTACTTCTGGAGCGCTTGTCAGTAGATTATGGAAAGAAGTCAAAACTTGGCTTCACCATCTACCCTTCTCCTCAGGTATTGCCTCAAAACTTTGTGGAAAAAGTAGGGGAAAGGATGATTGGAGCGAACTTTAGCTGCTACTTAAGGCACACCAAACATATTTTTATTTTCTATTTATATGTTTCCATGTATCTGATTAGTTTTGATGACCATCATGATTAAAATTTGAAGACAAATAGTAACAAACTTTCAGTAAAGGCCAATTGCCAAATTCTAATTCAGATGACAGAATAACAGGATATTTTTGCATTTTCTAAATCTATCTTGGGCATGGGAGTGGTAAAACTGTGGTTAACCATAAAAGAAAAATGCAGTGATCCTGGAAATTGAACTTTTTTCTAACTAATTCTTCTTTCCTGTGAGTGTATTTGTGCATTTCTTTAGCTTACGAAGTTTCCTTCGTAAGCTCAAACTTTTGGTACAAGATGCTAAGAACGAATTCCAAAATTTGTGCAGGTCTCTACTGCAGTTGTGGAACCTTACAATAGTGTGCTCTCCACTCATGCTCTCCTTGAACACACAGATGTTTCTGTGCTTCTGGATAATGAAGCTATATATGATATTTGTAGGAGATCCTTAGACATTGAAAGGCCAACTTACACCAACTTGAACCGCTTAATATCTCAAACTATCTCTTCTTTGACAACCTCCTTGAGATTCGATGGGGCCATAAATGTGGACATTACAGAGTTCCAGACTAACCTTGTGCCATATCCTCGTATTCATTTCATGCTTTCGTCTTATGCTCCTGTAATCTCAGCTGCAAAGGCCTACCATGAACAGCTATCAGTTCCTGAAATCACTAGTTCTGTTTTTGAACCTTCAAGTATGATGGCCAAATGTGATCCAAGGCATGGGAAGTACATGGCTTGCTGTTTAATGTATCGTGGAGATGTTGTGCCTAAGGATGTGAATGGTGCTGTTGCCACCATCAAGACAAAGCGGACAGTTCAGTTTGTTGATTGGTGAGTAGATATTAATTGTGTTTAAATTTATGAAATAATTGAACTATGGCAGTACTTGCACCATACTGGTGAGTAGCTAAGAATTATTGTCATCACTTTGCCATAATTGTTGCATACCTCATGGTTCGTGAGCCACTATATCCTTTCATTGTCTCCTTCTGTAGATAGGGGAGCCATGGTTTTAGACGCTGATTTATTGTTTATGTTGTACTACTTTGGTCCCTGTCATTTGCATACTCATAATGTTTTTCTATGATTCTGATATACCACCAATACAATGTGAGTCAATACGGCACAGGTCCCCCCACCAAGGGTCACCTAGGTTTGTATATGTTAATAGGTTTTCCCCATCCTACAGGATAGACTGAGCGTCTTCACCAGCAGAAAAAGGAATCTCACGGTGCTACGGTTATCCTCCTTGTTGCAATTAGCACATTACTAATATTAGTTTTGAAAGCAATGATGGACTAACCTAAGTTATTTTAATTATGCTATTCCATGATTCCATGAGAATTTACAATTTACAATTTTTGGTTATAAGATTGATAGTTCCAAATTAGTAATTGATATGTAGGTGTTATTTAGTATATGTACATGCACTAGTTGGCACAGCCTATTTTTGGCATAGGCATAAACACTGCAATCTATTTGACCCAGAATTCTTTTCTCATGGTCTGGCAGACCTAGATTGAAATATATGCTTTGTCCATCATTTCTTTGTTCCATCTGAGTGGTTTTATATCTGTATACCTTCCAGGTGTCCAACCGGTTTCAAATGTGGTATCAACTACCAGCCGCCAACACAAGTACCTGGGGGTGATCTTGCTAAAGTTCAGCGTGCAGTTTGTATGATTAGCAACAACACAGCTGTGGCTGAGGTTTTTGCCCGAATTGACCACAAATTTGACCTCATGTATTCCAAGCGAGCATTCGTCCATTGGTATGTAGGTGAAGGCATGGAGGAAGGTGAATTCTCAGAAGCCCGTGAAGACCTCGCTGCCCTTGAAAAAGACTACGAGGAAGTTGGGGCAGAAGGTGTTGATGACGAAGATGAAGGAGAAGATTATTAAAAGTGAGATATCTGGAGGTAGCCACTGCAGTTTCCCTATCTCTCATCATCTCACTTTGTTATCTAGTTGTGTGTTGTCATAATTCTTTTCTATTGTATTTGATATTCAAAAGCTTCTTTTCTTTTGTTGTCTGGATTTTTAATTATAGTAATATCAGAAGTACATTTGTGAGGCTTAATAGTTTCCATCCTCAGAAATGAGTTTGAATGTGTAATAAAACCGCTTCATTTTGCTGCAATTGAAGTGTAAATATTATGATTCTGATGAAAGTATGATGGTGAAAGTTTATTGACATAAAAAAAAAAAGTAAATCTTCACTACCAGAAAATATAGATGCCCTGAGGAAGTCAATTTTACTCATGCATAATATTTCTGCTTTCAGAAAGACAAGCTATTACAGAAAGTATACATGAATACTATGAATACCTAGATTCTTCTGGAGGTCGAATAACTAAATCGAGATGTCTTCCTTCACTTATTATATATCAATTATGTTAGCATCTTTTAGCAACATGCAATGTCTATTAGGTAATTGCCTTGGAAAATCAGCCTCATTGCTCCAGTATATAGCTCCATTACTGTAAATCCTGACAAGTTCTCACAATTAGGAAAATTTGAGCAAAACAAGAAGGTAAGTTGAGTATTTGACTGGTTGCAAACAGGCAGATTGACAGTCATCTTGGCTATTAGTTATTTCATCTCTTCTTTCAGGAATTGTGATAAAGGATGTCCTTGTCCTTTAAAGCCGCATTGAATGTGTATAGTATTGTATTGTATTGCACTGGATAGTATTATATAATACTAAATATAATAACCATGAAACTGCATTTTCTTTACCCTAAGTTTGCTGTTGGATTTTATTAAATGCACTTTCTTTTACCACTTCTGGAATTGGCTTTATGTAGATTAATTTTTCAACATTCAATCATGAAAATGATTCTTCATTTGTTTGTGCTTTGTCTGTGTTTACCATGCCTGGACCACTTGACTGCTTTAAATTGTTCATGGAACTTCTGTTTGTATGCAAGCCGGATTGAATCCATCAAAATTATAAAAATAAAGTATCAGCTGCATTTCCTGAATATATATATATATATATATATATATTGGATTTATCTTTGTTCTTTGTGAGATATTATAAATTGGGGTGAGCGGGTCTGGGTATCCAGCCCAATTCCAAAGAACCGAACCAGTCGGTTCCAGTTCCAATTACCCTGTAAATTTTATACCCCTCTATAGTCTAAAACATGACAAATATCCCCTAAAAATTACAAGACACCCCTCATAGTTTATAAAAATTGCAAATATACCTCGGATACCAGTCAGCTTCACCTTGGGTACGTGGACCTTGGTTTCGAGTCTAGTTCCTGGTTCTGGGTCTAGTTCCTAAAGTGGTGGAATCGGACATAGGGCCAGTTCCACCAAATTTGGAACCAGAACCGACCCACATAGGGTCGGTTTTGGTTCCCACCCGGAACGCACCGGTTCTGATTCTACTATTTACCCATGTTCACCCTTAATTTTATAATCACTTGGATGAGACATGCCATCTTTGTATCCAAGATCTGAGCTTCCTAGAGCATTAAGAGAGGAGAGAAGCTGCACTTGCCTTCAGGTGAATCGCTGTTCAAATTTCTGAACTTTGATCTCAAAATCTCTTATGGACTTGATCAATTGAATTAGATAATACCCACATCCTCTATATGTCATATGCAGTTGAGCAATACGGTATGGTGAGAGTGAGACTAAAGATTTTTCCTTCTAATTTTTTTAATTTTTTTCCAGCTTCAAGTCATCTATTAAAATCCCAGTTTCATTAGAAAGTTATTTGGTGCATGATTAAGATATTTATGTAATGATATCATCACTGAAAGTGATTGGCAGCATCATCATCTATCATTTCAACCATACCAAAATTTATTAATCCAACTGCCAACAACCATTCTTTGAGGAAAACACCATGTAGATTTTTTAGTCAATTGTGTTTTCATATTTCCTAGAAGGACAATATTACACTTACAATTTAATCTCACAAATTTTCTCTTACAATTTCGATATGGCAGTTCTCAATTTGTCAACTCATAAATGGATCCCGCTTGCTTGCTATAGGTCCTGCTTACTCAATTACGATCTGATCAATTAGGAACTGTTATATTAGGGTTATAAGAAAAAATTTATAAGATTAGGTTGTGAGTCAATTTTTATTATTCCTAATAGTTGATGTTAAGTGAAAGTTCCGAGCCTACAGTTCTAGGATATAGCTCCATCTAGCACAGAAACACAGATTATGGAAGTCATATCAAATTAGCCATTAAAGAGAAATACCTAAGGAATAAGGGAAAAGCTAGATGACCTCTGCAACTAAATTGGTGTTATTAGTCAGAAGGGCCCTAGTTGAGCTGTAACAGGATGCCAAATTTATTTATTTATTTATTTATTTTAATGGTTAGAAAATGTTGATGACATCTACACTTTTATTGAGAGAGACTTTTAAACAAGGAAAGATGGGTATATTTAAAATTCAACATGATTGCTTAGACTTTATGTTGTTGAGTTATGATTGAGGAGAGTTTCCATAAACAACAGATCATGTCTTTAGCTATTGCAATAATAAAAATTATCTAGAAAGAACAAGTTGAGGGAAGAGAAACTAATCTCTTTGATATTCCTTATGTTACTGTAACCTGATAACAAATCCTATATCATATACTTCTAACTTTTCCAATGAAAGAAACAAAAACAAAGATTAAAAAGGAAAGAGAACATTTCATGACCGTCTTAACCATGATCAAATTTGACAGAACAATGAACAGAATGGTGGAAGATCCCAAAAAGCTTCAGTAGGATCATGCACAGTGTCCATGTACTCTTGAACTCCATTAATGGCATAAAGGGAAGCTGAAATCTGCCTTTCAACTTTCATCCTGTCAAATTCTGTAAACTCCAAGTCCTTAGCCTCAGGCAAAGCACCACCGTTCTTCGGAAAATCCAACAATTCTTGAGTAAATGAAAACCGATCAACCACGTTTCCGAAACCAGTTGAAAGGTCCGATTGATAAGAACCTAACTCAAACTCCTCAGTGCAGTTACTTAAATCTGGTTTATATGCATCAGCAAACAATTGAAGGTCTTGAATTATATTACCAGAAGGTAAATGTTCACTAGTCATGCCACCAGTGCTGATGCAACTACTGCTAGAACTAGCACTAGTAGTAGTACTAACTGTGGTGGAAGAAGAAAAATGTTCAGCACTTTGCTGTTTATTACCTCCTTTTTTGTTGTTAACTAGATTTCGAATCCGAGAAGCAAGAGGAGAATCAAAGTTTACATTGGTATCGAAATTGGTTCTAGTATTTGATCCGCGAAGAAGGCAGGCAGCTTCATCATAAGCTCGAGCAGCTTCTTCAGCAGTTTCGAAGGTGCCAAGCCACACCCGTATCTTTTTTGTTGTGTCCTTGATCTCAGCAACCCATCTACCAGAAGGTCTTTGTCTCACACCAACAAACTTGTTATTGCTGTTGCTTTTATTATTTCTTCCCTTGAATTTGCTTACTTTGTTAAGTGGAATGCCCTGTCTTTTCTGCTGCTTTTGTTGCTGAAACTGAATTTCCATTGAAAGTCTGCACAAAAGAAAGATGAACTTTGATTTTAAGGAAAGCAGGAAACTATTGTGGCCCTTAAAGATAACGCAGAGCTTGTCTACATATCCTTGGTTGCCTTGTCAATGACAATGAGAATTTATATCAAGTTTTGAGTTTTCTAAAACAGGCATTTAAAGTCATTTTCATTTGTTTTCTTGGGTTTGTTATCTAATGAATTGTTTATTTATTGATGTAGACATTCTATGTGCCCTCAAAAGATTTCTTTTCTTCCTAATATACCCTAACTTTGACTTAAACATGTAGCAGTTAATACTCTCATCTCCAACAAAACACATTATATAAACACCACTGACAAGAGAATGCAAAGAATGAGATTGGCAGAGTAGGGACAGGAAAGTCATTACAGAAACACAAAGCATACCCTCGGAGAGACAACCTTGATATATTATTTAAGGGCAAGAACTTGTCTTCTCTTAACAACCAAGTCAAAATATGACAAGAAAGTCACGAAGGCATCCAGAATCGCCACTTGGAAGCACCAAAATGATCCTCTAGATGAAACCAAACACTAGAGTTTAAACATTAGAATTAGCCACTGGCTAAAAATTGCTTTTAGCTAGAACAAGAAGAAGACCCGGTCACCATCTAGACCCTGCAAAGAAAGAATATCTTATCGTGTACGCTGCGTTGCTTCTAACCTCTACTTGCATTACCAGACAAAAGCTTATTGCTATGCATTATTTAATTCTTAGATTCTTTCTTAGCTACTTGTATCAGTTCATTTTTATGGTAAAAATGAATGCAAATATATGACTTTATTTGCACGTAACTCAGACAGTACTAAAGTAATATGTAGGAACCTTCTTGACAAATCTAACATTGATACCATCTCGATAATATTATCAAGCTGCAGAGAAAAAAGAAGTTAGCGAAAAGGATTTAGACTTTGCATTCTGTAGAATGAAATGCAGACAACATATGGTAATATGCACAAGAAGATTGAGATAATAACATTAAACCCAGGTGAAAACTCTCACATAAAGTACAATTTCTTTCTTCTTTTCTGGTAAATAATGCAACTAGGACTTCCTATCCCTTTCATCGTCTTTTCCTCTGACTTTTGTAAAGATGAAACAAATATTCAGGCCTGTCTGAATTGGAAAGGTACCTCTTTCGGAATTTAGGATATAAGCTGAGGGACCACCCTATATAAAAATCCAAATATTGACTGTAAATGAGTATGTTTTCTCACTATAAAATTGCAAGTGGGTGTTCATGATTTGTCACGCAAGAATCTGCTTCCTTTTTCTTTTCTTCATTAGATACTTGGTCATACATTAAATTAGGTTTAGACAGTAACAGCTCCCATCAACTCCCTTGAGTGTTTACAAAGTTTTCGTAGAAACTTTTATTTAATAAACCCCACATACAATTTTTTGTAAATTACATATATCTATTAAAACTAAATGTTTTGCATCTTATGCAAGGCAAATTCAGAAAGTTTTGAGTTTACAACTTTCTAGTTCAGATTGAAGAAAACTTTTGTATGACGGATGCATGTACATCTAGCCAACATGTAGAAGTGTTATGTCATTGCAAGTGCAAGTTATGCACTCCATAACTGATTGGATCCGTATGCATCCTTTGTACAGAAGATTATCTCACTGGGATCAAGAGAAAGACAGAAAAGCACTGAAATGTACGCACCTGAGTTGCATCTGATGTGGATTTGGCCAATTTTTCCAAGAGCTGAAACAGCATTGTCATGTGCCATTAAGTTTTCCAAACATAGTGCATTTAAGTGTCTTATCATAAAATTTAAACTGAAGAACCTCTGCATAATAAAGAGGCAATGTTCCTTTTACATATCTAAAACAATAACTGCCAAAGGCAACTATACAACTGAAATATAACCCATTTCCAAAAAGGGGTTTCAACACAGATCCACAAACACAAAGTCCATAAACTGCTTCGGTGCTTACTGAAAATGTATTTGCATTTACTTTAGAAATGAAAAAAATAAATAAATAAAGCCAAGCAGTTTCTGTCATATAAATTTTTCTTTCTTTACATTCAGTTTGAAGTATTTTGAAAACGATTTTGCTCATAAAACAATATTCCAGGAAAACAAAAATGAAGACATAGATTTAGTAGTCATAGTTTCAACAAAGTTCAGGCATTAATAATCTTTATGGGTAAAGAATTCAGCCAACATTCTGTCAAGCAAACGGGTAAGCCAAGCCATAAACCACTTAAATCCAATTGAAATAAAGGTGTACCTGGCTAACAAAATCAGACAATATTCGATTCAGAGAAATTGAATGAGAGCATTAATGTCAATGTATCAATCTCCATAATTTCGTATACAGTGAAGTACACAATATAGGGAATCCGAACTTCAGTTTCTTGCTAAAACTGAATATATATTTATAGTCAGCAAAAGAAGACTAGAAGAGAGAAAATTTACACATTGATTATACATCCAAGGTAAGAAGCTTGTAGATAGTAAAAAACCCTTAACTTGTTTACTTCAATGTTGAGCAACAAACAACAGGAGAGTCAGACCCAAGACCTTTAAGAGACAAAAGTTGCTGAATTTACTGCAAATTACAATTCACTTTTGTAGTAATTGTTACTTACAGGAGTATAGGATAATAGGATACCTTACATGATTTGAATTAAAACAAAGTGAATATAGTTTGAACTTTGAACTTTGAAGAGTGGATTATGGAACTACAAAGTGATTTTAGTAATCAAAGCCCAAATCCAGACATCACAGCAACTTAAACAGAGGCATAAATGATTTTTGAAAGAAAAATTGAAGGACCAATTTTTCTTTTTACACTGTCTCTTTTGAATATCAACGAATTTTTGGGAAGATATGTACACTGTAGTTGATTACTACCAAGGTGTAAGGGAAGAGGAAGCATCTGCAGTCCAAAGTTCCCCATTTTTCCAATGATCCCCAAGCTCGAACCTTTCATCGTCAAAAAGATACTCAAAATCTGAATCCCCTGACTCGAACAAATTCTCAAATCCATCATCCTCATCATAGTCATCATCATGTTCATCATGTTCATCATCAATACCAGAATCATTTTGATCAATATAATTTCCGTAAATCCTATTTTTTCTCTTCTCTCGTCTCATCCTCTTTCCTTCCCTAATCAACTCCATAAACTGTTCTTTTATCACCAAAGTTTCATCTTTCTCTAACAGTACACCTTTGTCATCAAAGTACTCCACCAACATCAAAGAATTCCTTAGGCCTTTCAAGCTCACATAGAATAACTCTGGATGCCTCAAAATCATTGACCTCAACTTATTTGGAAGCCCAAACTCCTTCCTAAAGTGAGTCAAATGATCTATTAAAGTTCTCTTCTCAACCATCATACTAAGCACTTCTCTCACCAGAGCACAAGCTCTCTTCTCAGCTTCAAGAGATGCTCTAGCTAGTTCTTCTATAGAAGTGTTATAAGGGCACACACTCGGCAATTCTCCAAACTTTATCAAAAAATCCCGGTGACGTCTCTTCAAATTCAATCCCTTTCGAAGTCTCAAGTGCTTGAACTTTAAAGGCCTGTCTACTATCAATCCATGTGGATTCATATCAGGGGAAGGTAAACTACATGCCAGATCATGGGCCCATGATACAAGCTCAAGAGCTCGGCCATATGAGGTGTCAACAATCCTGAATTTATCCGGATAGTCATTGCAGAGGCGGGACTGAAAATTTGGTAGTAGACCAAGATCTGGGGCAATGTGAAGCAATTTTGGAAGAAGAAGCCGACGATGAGTAGAGAGCATGAGAAGCTTCTGGACTTTGTTGGCCAAAGTGATGGACTTGGCCGACTTGAGATTCATTTCTTGTGTAGCAAGGCCTGCTGCAGTTGTAGTCAAACGAACACATAGTTGATAGCCTGATTTTGTTGCATTGAGTGGTGTCAACGGCATAGGAATTGTGAACAGTTCAAATATTGTTGGGTAACGATGGATCATTGAGAGGATGGAGCGAGGCTTTGGGAGGCCAAGATAGGATCGGCATTTGGCAAGAATGTGGAGAGGAATAAAGTGTTTTGGCTTGGAAAGTAATAGTATTTTCAGCTTTTGAACAAAACGAATTTTGTTTTGCTTCACTACATGCTTGTCTAGTGAAGGACTTCGAACAATATTTGGTGATGAACATGAAATTGGAAAAGAGATATTTGAAGGTTTCTTACGAGTTTGATGGCATAGTTTCCCATTTCCTAGTTTCCATGAAGGAGTTGATGAGAAGAAGCTGAAATTGAGAAAAATATCCTTCTGGGAAGAAACAGGGAGAGATAGTGTCATTTTTCAAAATGATGTAGCAATCAGAAGTTTCAAAGCTGAAAAACAAAAAAGGATTATTGTGAAGCGATGACATCAAAAAGACATAACAGCATCATTCAAAATCCTTTGCACTTGACAATGACTTCATACAGGTGACAGGAATTGTTGCTTCCAAGCAAAGTTAGATGAAAATTGCAGAATACGAGCACAAGAACCTTCTGAAGCTGAATACGTCCTTGGCCTGACAATGTCAGAAACCAAAATAAACAAACTACAAACTAAAGAATAAGGCTGCTAATAGATCCTGTAAAAAGACTAGGGTTGAGAGGGACATGAATTTTCCCTTGAGGACTATTTGAAGGAAAGTAAACTCAATCTGCATAACATAAAATGGTAAGAGCTAATTAGTCAAAGAAGTCATCTCCAACGTCTTGTTTAAAAAACACAATATCAAGGACTTTAGAGAGAAACTGAATTATCAGAAATACAAGTTGAAAATTGGATGCCGATAAAACAAAATGATAATGAACACTTATCGAAGTGATGACTTCAGGCAAGGATCAAGAATTAAGAAGTTGTAGCAAACAAATGCAAACTTGAGACCATGGCACATAACATCAAGCAATTTTATGTGTTTTTTTTTTTTTTTTTTTCTCTCTCTCTTTTTTGCCTTCAGTTGTTTTAAATTTTCCTTCAGAAAATAACATTACACCAGGCAAATGAACAACTTAGAGAAGCATATTACTATAATTCAATTCCCTTTTACATTTTAATTAAAAATATGACTTCCAGAACAACTAATGGAACCTCAACACATAGCACGGAAGTTTAATCAGCATGACAAGTAGGTAACAGAACTCCAAGAAAATGCACAGGAAACAACACCAAAAACACAGACTTCCGAGAAAATTGGAAAGAAAAGAAGGAAGCCTTCTAAATCTCCTTGTTATTTTAATTTTTCGGATATGAGAGAGAAGAAACCCATTTCAAGTGAAGTAACACTAAACTAAAATTTAGACCCCAACAGGCATAAATGTTAATTTCTTTACTATCCGCAGAATTTTCTCAGCAACCAAACACAACAAAAGAAGAGAGAGAGAGAGAGAGAGAGAGAGAGTAGATACCTGGTAATCTTATACTGAAAGAGTAGGGTTTAGGGTTTTAAAGAGTGAGTCGAAGAGATGAGAGCAGAGTTCATACGCGCGAAGATTGTCGAGTAAATTTTGTATTGTTTTCCAAATTTGTTTATAGTTAAATAACCAGATTAAAAGAGGGTGGTTTGTGTCAAAATCATCAAAATATGAACCCATATGTCATATTTTACACTTTAGGGGTTGTCAGTGAAAATTATCCGGCTATTTTCTATGAACCGGAAGCCAATCCGGTGCGTTACGCGTAGCAGCTATACGCTGTCGTTTTAAGGGAATAAAAAGTGAGAAAAAGCAAGTCACCGTCTTCCTCCCCTTTCCTCTCCTTTTATTTTGTTCTTCACAGAGAAGATTAGGGTTTTGAGTGGAGAAAAATTAAATACTAAATGGAAATTGCAGAGAAGAAGGAATCAGATAATGACACTCAATCAGTTGCTGATTCGGTGGGTAACAATAACAACAAAGACGCCGAAGAACGCCTTGCTCGTGACCTCAAAACCAGTCTTCATCCTCTGAAGGTCTATTCATCTCCCTCTTGATTGATTGGCTGTTGTCTGATGTCGCGTTTTATTTTTTTTATTTTTTTTTTGTAATTAGGAAATTAATTAGAGTTCAAGAAAAAGAAAAGAAAAATGCTTGAACATGTTTTATACTTGGCATAGATCTATGCCTCCATGAACTTGTATTTTGATGTAATTTTATGTTGTTTCTTATACTGGTGGCATTGTCAACCCGCCTTCCCTCCCTCCGGTCCCGTTCTCTCGCTGTCCAGTTTTACATAGAAAAGAAGATCCACTATTCTTTAATCCAAATGAAGACTACAATGTTCTGAATCATGCCGGGCATTTTTATGATATCAGCATGGTTCCGTGGGAAGAAATCGGCATACTTTAATGGTTGTACTTATGAGGCTATAATAACCAAGAAATTTTCAGTTACATTGAATGGGAATCATAAGATAAAAGATTGCTTGCTTATGTGTTATCTTATGTTTGTGATGTTGCCACATTTGTCAACCTTTTCTGTATTTTCATTTTTTTTACCCCTCAAAACATGACTAACATGCATAACTTGTTCTTATTATAAGGTTTTTATAGTTGTTATGATGCGTTGGCACTTATGTTATATTCCTATTAACAGAACAAGTTTGTCTTTTGGTACACTCGTCGAACACCCGGGGTTCGAACTCAAACTTCATATGAAGACAACATAAAGAAAATTGTGGATTTTAGCACGGTCAGTTTTGATATATGAGATGCTAGTGCCAATTGATATTCAGCTTGAATCCTTAGCTTTACATATACTATTTTTTTCAGTTGCTGATTTGGTTTCTGAACATAATGTGTATCTAGGTTGAAGGCTTTTGGGTCTGCTATTGCCACTTGGCTCGTCCTTCTTCCTTGCCAAGTCCTACTGATTTGCATCTTTTCAAGGAAGGAATTCGCCCGCTGTGGGAGGTAAGCATTTGAACCCTGACCCTGCTTTTTGATGACCAATTTTTAACTGTTTTCTTTGTGTTGTATGATCCTGAATACTTCTTAATAGCTTGTAAATCTTGAATATAATATCTACATAGTTCATAATTATTTTAATAGACTTTGTTATTTTTCAGGACTCTGCTAACTGCAATGGTGGGAAGTGGATAATAAGGTTCAAGAAGGTTGTTTCGGGTCGATTTTGGGAAGACCTGGTAAGAAGACAGAAGATAAACTTTTTTTTCTTTCAAGTCTGTGCCCTTGTGTGTTTTAATAAGAAAAATGGGCCATGCCATCCCTTACTTACCTTCATTCTGTCAACTACCAATTTGTTATTTGAAGTTGGCGTTCCTGAAACTTCAAATATCAGAAGTTCTAAGCCTCAGCTATCTTTTCGTTTCTCCTGTTACTACTTCCAGTAATAAAGAATTGATAATTTCATATTTGCTTATGCACTCTAATGGAGTTCAGTTAGATTTTTTGATGATGATATATGCTGCTATTATTAATGTCATAACAATGTCGAAAGTATAAAGTATAAAATTGAACTAGATGTCATGTCTTAATCAGTAAATATTTTGTTTTACTGGTTTCTCTCATGTTTAGTGGCACCTGTTATATATTTGATCCCACTGTAATCTAAATAGCAGGTGGGACCCTTTTTTTTTTTTTTTTTGGTGTGTGTAGAAGTTCTTGATGATGTTTTCTTTCTATTTTTTTTCAATGACTTTTTGTCTAGTATGGACTTTGTATTATATTTGCTTATTTACTTGCCATGTGTTTGCAGGTTCTGGCTTTGGTAGGTGACCAACTTGACTATGGTGATAACATATGTGGCGCTGTCCTAAGCATTCGGTTTAATGAAGATATACTGAGTGTGTGGAACCGCAATGCTTCTGATCATCAGGTTAGTGATTATTGAATGCCAAAATTTGGAACTTTGTTCCCATTTTTCCTTTGACTCATTAAATTTGATATCTGTTTTTCCTCCTTGATACCAGGCTGTGATGGCGCTAAGAGATTCAATTAAACGTCACTTAAAGCTTCCCCACAGCTATGTAATGGAATACAAGCCCCATGATGCTTCTCTGCGTGACAACTCGTCGTATAGAAACACATGGTTGAGAGGCTAGAGACACATTAGTTTCTTCACTGCCCTTGCGGAGAAAGAATAGCAAGTCTAGGGAGATATCTGTTCATTCAGCGATCACAATCCATTATCTTGTATTGTGACCTCAGAATCATGTGGGTTGTCCTGACATCTGGAAATCTTGAAATCAAACTAACTGTAGGACGACACCACGTAAAACCGAGGTTAATTCTATCAATGCAATACTGAATATTGTCTTTTCATTTTTGGATTTTTAGTTGTTGCATATACTGTTAGACCTTGGTGCAGCTTTTTCTGTAGATATAATGTTTCTTTAATCTCATGGTCTGAGTGCAGTTTCATTTATTGGTAAGAACAGGTGTGTTTGTTTCTCCATTTTAGGTAGGATTTTTGAAATCCTACCCAAAATACATATTTGTTTACTTATTTCGAAAATCCAATTTTATGCTATTCAATTATTTTTAAACCTCTAGGTTTGTTAATTTAACTAAACATCTCCAATAAAAAAAAAAGGTTTAGAAATTGACAAAAACACTTCTATTCACCCCATATTTGCCAAATTTTGGCTGCCACTGTTGGAAGGTGGCTAGAATATGGTATAATGGCACACTACCAGTTAGATCTAGCCGGTAGTGCATGGATCTAGCCTTTTTCGACCAGATCCAGCGTGGATCTGATAAAAAAAGACCAGATTTACGGCCAAAGATCTGGCCATTTTAGTTGGTCGTCATAAAAGGCCGTCGTTGACAACCAAATGTGGCCAGATCTAGTCATCAACGTGGTGGATTTGGTCGAAAAATGTTATATCGACGCACGACTGGCTAGACTTAGTCAATCGTGCGCCATTATGGAGACTTCCAGCCATCCTTCGATGGTAGTGGACAGCTATTGACATTTAATATATGGGTGGGGATGTTTTTGTTAATTTTCAATGTTTTATTGTAGAGGTTTTTAGTAAATTAACAAACTTAGAGGGTGTTTTGTTAATTTGTAAATCTTATCTAGTAATAACTATCTAACTCAATTTTTTTTAAAATCCTATCCAAAATAACAAAACAAACACATCCAATAATGTTTTGCTTACAACTGAGTCATTCAATCAAACAAAAATTACACAAAATTCATGTAAAATGACTATTATATCTTTTGTTTTTTGTCTAATTTTATGACTCAGTTATAAGTATAACACTGCTAGGTAAGAACCAAATAAGAATGAGATGAAAAAGATAACAAATGTGGGTGTAATACTTCATATACAGAATACCTTACAATTGATATATCACTACAACAATTTCTGTTTGTGTAACATAGAAAGTTACACTCGTAATAACAAAACGAAAATTTCTTACATATTACAAATTGATTTTCAATGCTACTGGTCTGAAGTTTTCTACCTACCCATGAGGTGGTTTGCTTGTCACAAGGTTTGGTATTTCAATCCCTTCACGGCCACCTACTTGGCCAATGGCCTTTGGCCATCTAGTCAGGTTTCCAAGGTACATGGTCAAAGGCCATTGGGTTTCCCGCTTTCAAAGATTATAGGGCTCAGCAGAGCTTCCCGAAGATTATAGGGTTTTTTGTCGTAGATTATCAAGTAACCTGCTTCCCGAAGAACATAGGGTTTTCAATAGGGACTCTAATTACGTTAGGGTTTCCCACTTCCCAAATATTATAGAGTTAGATNCTAATGGAGTTCAGTTAGATTTTTTGATGATGATATATGCTGCTATTATTAATGTCATAACAATGTCGAAAGTATAAAGTATAAAATTGAACTAGATGTCATGTCTTAATCAGTAAATATTTTGTTTTACTGGTTTCTCTCATGTTTAGTGGCACCTGTTATATATTTGATCCCACTGTAATCTAAATAGCAGGTGGGACCCTTTTTTTTTTTTTTTTTGGTGTGTGTAGAAGTTCTTGATGATGTTTTCTTTCTATTTTTTTTCAATGACTTTTTGTCTAGTATGGACTTTGTATTATATTTGCTTATTTACTTGGCATGTGTTTGCAGGTTCTGGCTTTGGTAGGTGACCAACTTGACTATGGTGATAACATATGTGGCGCCGTCCTAAGCATTCGGTTTAATGAAGATATACTGAGTGTGTGGAACCGCAATGCTTCTGATCATCAGGTTAGTGATTATTGAATGCCAAAATTTGGAACTTTGTTCCCATTTTTCCTTTGACTCATTAAATTTGATATCTGTTTTTCCTCCTTGATACCAGGCTGTGATGGCGCTAAGAGATTCAATTAAACGTCACTTAAAGCTTCCCCACAGCTATGTAATGGAATACAAGCCCCATGATGCTTCTCTGCGTGACAACTCGTCGTATAGAAACACATGGTTGAGAGGCTAGAGACACATTAGTTTCTTCACTGCCCTTACGGAGAAAGAATAGCAAGTCTAGGGAGATTTCTGTTCATTCAGCGATCACAATCCATTATCTTGTATTGTGACCTCAGAATCATGTGGGTTGTCCTGACATCTGGAAATCTTGAAATCAAACTAACTGTAGGACGACACCACGTAAAACCGAGGTTAATTCTATCAATGCAATACTGAATATTGTCTTTTCATTTTTGGATTTTTAGTTGTTGCATATACTGTTAGATCTTGGTGCAGCTTTTTTTGTAGATATAATGTTTCTTTAATCTCATGGTCTGAGTGCAGTTTAATTTATGGGTAAGAACAGGTGTGTTTGTTTCTCTATATATATTTGTTTCTCTATATATATTTGTTTCCTTATTTTGAAAATCTAATTTTATTTTATTCAATTATGTTTAAACCCTTAGGTTTGTTAATTTAACTAAACACCTCTAATTAAAAGAAACAGTTTAGAATTTAACAAAAACATCTTCATTCACCCACATTTGCCAGATTTTGGCCACCATTGTTGGAAGGTGGCTAGAATATGGCGTAATAGTGCATTATTGGTTGGATCTAGTCGGTAGTGTACGAATCTAGTCTTTTTCAACTAGATTCACCGTGGATCTGGCAGGAAAATGCCAGATCTATAGTCAAAGATCTGGCCGTTGATGACCAAATCTTTGACCGTAGCTAGTCGTCAACGACGGCCATATCTTTGGCCGTCGTTGAAGACCAAATGTGGTTAAATCTAGCCATCAACGTGATAGATCTGGCCGAAAAAGGCTATATCAGCGTATGATTGGCTAGACTTAGTTGGTCGTACACCATTACAGAGACTTTCAGCCACCCTCTGATGGTGGTGGCTGACTGTCGGCATTTAATGTATAGGTGGGGGTGTTTTTGTTAATTTTTAATATTTTATTATAGGGATTTTTAGTAAATTAACAAACCTATTAGGTGTTTTGTTAATTTTTAAATCTTGCCTCGTAATAACCATCCGACTCAATTTTTTCAAAAATCCTACCCAAAATAATAAAACAAACATATTCAATAATGTTTTGTTTACAACTGAGTTATATAATCAAATAAAAATTGCACAAAATTTATATAAAATGACTATTATGTCCTTTGTTTTTTGTCCGATTGTATAACTCAATTGTAAGTATAGCATTGTTCGGATAAGAAACCCGAAATAAGAATGGGATGAAAAAGATAACAAATGTGGGTGTAATACTTCATATACAGAATACCTTACAATTGATATATCACTACAACAATTTATGTTTGTGTAACATAGAAAGTTGCACTTGTAATAACAAAACGAAAATTTCTTACATATTACAAATTGATTTTCAATGCTACTGGTCTGAAGTTTTCTACCTACCCATGAGGTGGTTTGCTTGTCACAAGGTTTGGTATTTCAATCCCTTCACGGCCACCTACTTGACCAATGGCCTTCGGCCATATAGTTCATGTTTCCAAGGTACATGGTCAAAGGCCATTAGGTTTCCCGCTTTCAAAGATTATAGGGCTCAGCAAAGCTTCCCGAAGATTATAGGGTTTTTTGTCAAAGATTATCAAGTAACCTGCTTCCCAAAGAATATAGGGTTTTCAATAGGGACTCTAATTACGGTAGGGTTTCCCACTTCCCAAAGATTCTTGGGTCATTGTTTCTTATTTCTCAAAGATTATAGGGTTGGATGCGGGTTAATTTTGTTTAATAATTTTGTTTAACCATTGTTTCTCGCTTTTTAAAGATTAATAGGGTTCGACAAGGGTTTGCAATTTTGAGCTCACCTTCGCAAAGCAAAATTGGGAAATTTTAGATTATAAAACAATAATAATGGTTTTGCACATTCACTATGCAGTATTTGACAGAAGCATTATGACCTCTAAGAATTGTTAAAAGCATTACACTTTGACTTGCCAAAGAAATGAGATAACCTTTGGAATACTCTAGAATGCCAACATAAACTGTTGGTGTGAATTATTTTAGTGTTTAAGAACAGCTTGCAAATTGGTGTGCTGGAATTTATCTGCTCAAAGGGATGGCCTGTCTGAAGCAGCCAAGCCATAAATGTTTGTTGTTGCTGCAACTTAAAACCCTCATCTGTTCTTACAAATTGTTGTTTAACCAGTTTGGTTCCTTAAGATTAAACAAGAAAGGTTTTAAGATCGAATTCTGCTAACAATAAGAGAAGTTTCAATACAGGGTAAAAATTCTTGACACTTTAGTAACAAGAAAATCTATGCGGGTATTTTAATTTACCCTTTCAGAAAATTTCTAATGGTTGCCCTAGATGCTTGCTAGTTCCATCCTTTTTTTTGGTATAGAGTACATATACGAATATTCGGTCCTCTCTCAATATGATAAAAATGTCCTACGATGGAGCATAGGTAGTTCAATTTACACTATCGATATATTAGCAGAAAGATCATCAAAGGTATACAACGATGCTATAAATTAATTGGTGACAACTAATTACAGAGTTGTACAAAATGACGCAAGGAAAAGTTCAGCAAACTGTAAATATTTTTTTATGAGTAATCATATATGTTGAAAGTTAAAAAAAAAAAAAGTTGACAAGAATTTGATTAACATGAGATTTCATGAAAGTCTATTAACTTGAGGATGGCACATATAAAAGTACTTTGACCACAACAATCTGCAAGTAGTGATTCTAAACAGAGGACTGAAGTCCTATGATACCTGACAAAATCAAGCGACGTAAGAAATGTTAGTATTGCTTATATCGAAAATAGGCAATCTAAGACATAATAATACTACTGATAATAGCACGATTCCTTGTTAAAAACCACCACAGGCCACATTGCTGCATCATATCCTTAACCTGAGCCGGTACCCTAGTTTTACCCGCTGCAACATAACAAAATGGCTGCAAAATTGTAATGAGGAAGAATTGAAACCATTACCACATCCAACTCTGGCTCCTGCATTCCCAGTTGTCTTGCTAAGTTCATGTCCACCTGTGTTGGGTCCATAATTAGTTAAAACTTAATAAGAAGTGAAAACGATCGTGACAATAATAGATTTTTGATAAGCAACTGAAACATAGATCAAGGAAAAAAAAGGCATGTGAGAGGCTTTCATATAATATGTAGGCAAGCTTATGTGAGTTTATATTTCCATGTTGTAAGGTCAGTCACTATACCACTAAAGCTTCCAGCATTTTCTTCTTATATCTCCCTTAGGAAAAATAGTATGTAATATGGGAATGCAAAGTCCTCAACTATCTTATCCTGAACCTAAATCCCACACAGCTCAAAGAAGACAATTTGTGCAAAGACAGGTATTCCTACGCAAACACCAAATCTAGAACAGATGTGACAAAACTACACCTTGAAGCCAGAATATAGTGAACAAAAAGATGAGTAATGAAAAGATCACGACAAAAGCACATTGTACTCACCAAACCAAGTAAACACTCTGTACCAGAAGGCAACTCACACCAAGCCATATTAGAGCTTTTCCAATCCTCTTAACTAGATAATGAACTTCTCATCAAAATTAAACTGAAAAACAAATTTAATGAAAGCACCTCATACCATTTGACTTGAAAATCTCATTTGCTTAAAAACATATCAAACTATTGAGATCAACATAAGTTTTGACGCATAAAAATTTATTAATTCTCCTGACTGCAGGTACCAAGGATATTGCTCTAACTGTGAAATTTACCAATAACTATCCAGCGGCAAATGTTGTTCTAATTCATTTGGTACACTATTGATCATACCCCAAATTTAATAAGTAACTAACCTCTTTTCTACTACTCACCATAGAAGAAGGCCTACATTGCTACTGAACTGAGAGTTATCCCAAGATAATCTAAACTGAAGAACAACTCATCAGAACCTGTACTATCTAATTTCTTTTTCTACTACTCACCATAGAAGCTCAATTACAAACTGAACCCTGCAAGCAATCTCAAGATACTTAAAACTGAAGAAACAACTCATATCAGAATCCAGCCCTATGTAACAAAGTAAACCCTAATTAAGTACCTTTGTCTCATTGGATGATTTAATGTGTCGAGCATGCATTATATTCATATCCTGGTATTTACCCTTGGAGTTCTATTTTTTCTCATGAGAATTTCTGATCATAGATATTAGGATTGTCCACACAATTCTAACTCTCTATCTACAAAACTTACCTTCCTATAGATATAAAAAATAAATAAATAAAGTGCTTAAAAGTTAAAACATTTTCATTAAGTTGAACCTGAATGAAGCTCATATGGAATCAATCAAATCATGTGTGAGTTAACATTGCTCTGTAAGCAAAACAGATGGAGGCATCATATTATCAGATGTAACCCTAAACTGAACCAGATAGAAGATCTTTCATATGCAAATGAAGAGACATGCATGTATAATAGGCATTTGTCTATAAAATCTGTATACTTAAGGCAATCAGGACCCGCATGAAAGTTAAGTTCCCCACTCAGTTTTGATTCAACTTGTGTGTATCAAACAGACAATTCTGGACAAGTTGACAACTATACCAACAAGCTATATATCTCATTACAATATGCAAAGAATCCTAAACGAAAATTAAAGAAAAAGAGACTTGCCTTGACCAAGATCATCAGGATCAGCATGAACAACAACAGCCCTCCCTAGTATGGAGTGTTGTCCACTCAAAGGAATCTAAAAGTTGGAACATAAAGATGAAAAATGATAAAATGTAAGCTACAATTCAAGGAACTAAAACATTTCAAGAAATCAAGGAATTAGAAAAAAAAAAAAAATATATATATATATATATACACACACACACACAGAGAGAGCAAGACAACGAAATCATTTCACTACATCTATAGTGCATTTGCAAACAATAACAAAAACTTTTGCAGAGCCTTTGAGAAGAGTATTGCACAGAATGCCTGCGCTCATAATAAATATTGAAGTAAATGATTATCAAATGTTTTTTCACCACACATAACAGAGAGAAAGAAAACATGAATTTGTACACCCAAATGCTAAGGTAAAAGAATCAAAACAATCCAATTACCTGCCTGTCTGCAATTGAAACCTCAGCTACTCCTGCAATATAGATTTAAGAAAATACTTAAGCTCTTCATTATCTGCTCTGAATTATAAAATTACATCCAGATAACACCAAACTGTATATACCATCTGCGCCTGCAATAATGTTTCCCAAATCACCAGCATGCCGCTCGTTATGACTCGGAGCTCCATGATTCTTCTTTAGTGGATTAAAATGGGGTCCTAAAATGAATCAAAATCAGCAACACCGTTCACCAACCAACTCACTAAGAAATGAAATCATCACCACTTACAGATCATCAAACACAGGCCTAATTTGTCCTAAACATTGAAATTCAAGCTTAAAAACAAAGCCTCAACACAATGTAACATCAACTACAGCACCCAACACTCACCACCAAATCAAACCCACCTAAAACATAACTACCATGATCTTAAAATAAACAAACACCATTCACATCAACCACCCCTCAAACCGCACCACTAAACAAAACCCACTTAAAACATTAATAACGTGAGCCCAAAATCAATACAGAATATAAAGATCAAAACTTGAAGCTCAAAATTATTTCTTTAATTGACAAAAACATATTACCAGTAGAATTGCAGCCATTGGTGGTGTCACCAAGAGCGTGAATATGGAAGCCATGAAGGCCTGGTTTCAAACCCGTAATTTTCCCTTTAACATGAGTAACTCCTGCAACACAAAAGCACATAAATAAATATGCATACACATAACAAATACAAAATTGTTTGTAAATGTATAGAGAAAGAAAGACCATTGGGGCCTTGAACAAAGTGAAGTGAGCCTCTAACATTGGTATCTCCTGAGATGAGAGCCACAGCTTTTACTGTGGGTTTTGCTCCAACAGTTTGTTCCATTTTCTGCTTCTGGGTATTCTCAGATTTTGATAGAATATTTCTTGTGTTCTTGGTCCAATTATCTGTTTTTGGTTTTTTGTTTTCATTTCATCCAGAATCTATCCGGTAAAAAAACCAGTGCGCCACTTGTTTTCGGGTTAGGTTGAAAAACAAACCATACCTTGGGGTTTTTTGAAAATATGGCTTGCCTCAAAATATTCTTGCAGTGTAACCCACACTTCGATGTAAATGGACAATAACACCCCTTCAACAGAATATAAATAGTTTATCAAAAATATAATATATATTAATTACCTTAGCATAAAACTAAAATGTTCAGTAATTCTTTGATTACTCAAATATAAAATATATAAATAATAGGTTATCTTATCTTAATTTATATTTTCTTAATAATTTAATAATATTACATTATATTATTAAAAATGATTCGATAATCATCTTTATATATTTATACTATAATACTACTAAATTAAGACTTTAAAATATGTTTGGTTTATTAGCAAGTACTGTATAATTTTTTTCTTCAATATAAAAATAAATAAATATCATCATATCTTAAGTATCCCCACATATATTTTTTTAACTTAGTTATTAGCCTTCACATTTGTTTGAAATGTCATTGCGGCCTTACAACATTTACACCGACCAAGGAATTGAATTTGGGACTTGAGCTCGTCAAGGACCAGTCGCTCATCGGTCTCAGACCCATGAGTAATTTTAGAACCTGGACCGGTCCTATGGGTTTGAAAATTTTCTTTTTTGTCCTTGACCTTTTTTTATATTTTAAGGGCGAAACAAAATTTTGTAGGAGGGTGTTAGTATTTTTCAAGGCTAAATTTTATAAATTTTTCAAGGCAGGAAATTTTTACATTTTTGTAAAAATTTCTTTTTAATCTCTATAATTTATATTTATTTCAAAATTTATATGGGGTTTTATGTAATTGTACAAAGGGCTAAAAACGAAAATATTTAAAAAACTTTGGGCCCAAGCCTAGGACTTGGAGGAGAGCCTGGTCATGTTTTAGGACTAGCCCTCTCAAAGACCGATCCTAGGACTGGGTTTTTAGGCTGAGTTTTTGGACCTAATCTCAAATGTCCATCTCTATCTGGGACTGTAGGACCATCGCAGCCGTGGTACCTTTACGCCCGATAAAGAATTGAACTTATGTCCACTAAGAAATTGTACCTAAGACTGTGGGTTGAAGCCATATATAACCCGTTGGTTACGATTGGACTACCCAAGGGTGGGCCATTGAATCATCTTTCATTAATGCAATTGACTATTTCCCTTTCATTTTCAATTCTTTTTTTAATTGCAACCAAACAAATCAAAGAATATTCTTTTTAAAGAAAAACCTTTCAAAATTAAAAATTAATTAATTAATTGTTCTCCTTGGAGATATAAGCTAAAGCTAGTATTATTTGATTTACTTACCCAATACTCATGTCATTCCATAGGGGAAAATATAATACAATCAATGCATAAATTTATTTCCCTTAATACCTCTACAATTTAGGAAAATGTCATCTACATTGAGCTTTTGTTTTGATTTAATGTTACACTCATTTTGTTTTATCTTCTATTAGTGAATATGATAATCAAACAATACTATCCTCTTTTTAAATATATAAATTCATAAAATTAATAAATAAGAGAAATCGTTTACCCTATTCACTAAATGTGAAAATAAAACGAAATGAGAATCAGGTTAACGAATTTTCGAAATCATATGGATAGTAGATGTCACTCAAAATTAAAAGATTAATCTAATAGACATTTTCCTAAAAAATAAATACATCCTGCAAAATTAACCGTACAATGTACTGTAACATACACATCAGATAATTCAAATAGTTAATGGTTAGAAACAATGTCTACCAAATTTGGGCTTTTAGTTTTAATTAACATTTACTACTCCCGTACTTTTAAGACTCATCGACTACCATCCTTTACACTTGTTTCATTTTATTTTCTATTTGTGAATACGATAAAAAGGAAATATTAACCTAATTCATAAAATTAATAAACGAGAATAATAAAACAAAATTAGAATCAAAACTCGTAAATTGTAACCATAGTAAATGTCACTCAAAATTAAAAGATTAATTTGATCGATATTTTCCTAAACCATAAAAGCATCGAGCGAAATTAATCATACAATATAGCGTACCAAACACGTTCGATAATCGAAACCCTAAAGGGAGAATAGTGAATGGTTAAAAATGGGTTAAATTTTTTGGGCTCATATTGGGCTTTCTTTCTTTTCAAACGACAACGACAACGACAACAATAAAACAAAGCCAGTCAACGGGTAAGATTTTTATACCCACATTTTTCAAAAAAAATAATAATAAAAAAAACATCATCTTTACTCTTTGAACAATGACCACACCACACGAGGCAACCTCTGAGCCAGCGAGAGTTTAATATAAATCAAGCTTTTTCCCTTCATTTTTCGAGCTGGAATTTCAAAAAGTAGTCCTCGCATTGTACCCTTTTTGTTGTTTTAAATAAAGCAAAAAATAAATTAAATTCGAAAAAAAAAAAAAGTATCTATCTTCTACCTATAATCAATCTATCACCGAACAACCACACAGAGAGAGAGAGAGATAGAGAGCGATATACAATCAAACCCATTAAATAAAATCTCAAACTATTACTGGGTTTTTTCTGCTCATCATCAGTTTTTGTGTTTTTCATTTTCTATTTTTTTTTTTTTTTTTTTTCCCATTCTGTCGTTGGTCGTGTTATGAATTCCCTTTTCGCACCCTTTTCGATGGTTTCTTCTTGCTCTGGTTTTTTCCGTTTTGTTTTGTTTGTAAGTGTTGTTTTTACAATAGGCTGCGCTTCATCGGCGCCTCTGTGTCCGCTCCAATCAGATAAGTTTCGAAATAGCCTTCAATCGCAGTGCTCTGTTGGGATCTCGCCAAATCCTCCGATTCAGGTTAGTTTTTCATTTACTTTATTATTATTTTTGGGTTTAATTAAATTTGTTGCTGCTTTTATTGTAATTTATTTTGGTAAATCTGTCTTTGACTTCTGATTAATGGGTTTGTTGAAGGGGATTTGTTGTTATTTTTTATCTGTTTTGTTGATTTCGATTTCTGGGCGTATCACACCGGCTTCTAGGGTTTCTTTTTGGGAATGTTAGGTTATGATTGTGTATGATGAGGTGTATCTTGTGAAAATATTTTGAGGATTATAATTGTTGATTTGATGGCTTTGAAGAGTATTTGCTTATGTCGGTAGAATAAAAATCTAAACTAAAATTCAATCAATAAAGCTGGGAAATTTATTTAAAGAGTATTTGCTTGTGTGATTCGGTGTATGTTGGGAAAAAAAAATTAAAATTGAGAATTATAATTGTTGATTTTTGGGCTTTGGAGAGTGTTTGCTTGTGTGGTAGAATAAAAATCTAAACAAAAATTGAAAAAAAGAAAAAGAATACGAGAAATTTATTTGTTCTGCTCAAGATTGAGGCTTTGACTATAGGTATTTTAGCATATTTACCTATGATTCTCGGTGGGATACCACAGTTTACAAGTTTTTTAATTATCAAGGGTGTAGGTTCAACACTAGTAAAAATGAAAACCTTATAGTCAAAAATTTGATTAGGGTATTGAGCATCAGAATTGATGAGTTAGTGTTTTAAGATTTGAGAGGTAAGTAATTTTTATGCCTATAGTTTAAGGTGTAAGCGACACAATTTAAACCTTATTTATAGACTAAGATCACATGAATCATAATTAATAAGATCATTCATAACAATTCATGAATAGTCAAAACTAGATGTGTGTCATCAAAACCTTAACATATATCTTTTAATTTTTTAGTGATGATTCAAAATCTAGATGTCTCGTCTTGAAAAGTTTAAAAGGTATGTGTTTAGGTATTAGTGACACTCTTTCAAATTTTGAAGACATGAATCGTTATTAGTGATTTAATTATGATTCATGTAATCAATTTAGATACATCCTATTTTATTCTATAAATAGGGTTGTAATTCTATTATGTTGTAAGAGAGAGATTAACTTGAATTCAAAGCTTGTATTATCACATTTATCTCTCCTCACTTCACCCTTAGTACTCAATTTTCAAGCCCTATACAATATAATGATCAATTGTATATATATATATCAAGTTTTTGAAGATCTTTTACCTCCAATTAAAGCTATAAGTGTTGTAAAGCTTTAAAAATTATAAAAATGATATGGCATGTTGTAATAAAAAATTGGGTGGAAATTTATACCTTTTGAAGCTTTACAACACTTGTAGCTTTAATTGGAGGTGAAAGATCTTCAAAAACTTGAAGAATCCTCAAAGTAAGTCCACCTCAAGGTTGAAGAAGAAATCAAGAAAGGAAAAAAGGTTCTTGGTTTTTGGGTGAGAAGAAAAATGCAAAAATTAGGTTAAAATGGGATTATAAGTGCATATTTACACTTGGACCTTTTTACCATTTTCGAAATTACCATTAACCCGTTAGTATAATTTCAATTCAATGAAAAGTCCATAAATTAAATTAAAATTTAATTTAATCCCATTATATATANAATGATATGGCATGTTGTAATAAAAAATTGGGTGGAAATTTATACCTTTTGAAGCTTTACAACACTTGTAGCTTTAATTGGAGGTGAAAGATCTTCAAAAACTTGAAGAATCCTCAAAGTAAGTCCACCTCAAGGTTGAAGAAGAGAGGAAAAAAGGTTCTTGGTTTTTGGGTGAGAAGAAAAAAGCAAAAATTAGGTTAAAATGGGATTATAAGTGCATATTTACACTTGGACTTTTTTACCATTTTCGAAATTACCATTAACCCATTAATATAATTTCAATTCAATGAAAAGTCCATAAATTAAATTAAAATTTAATTTAATCCCATTATATATATATATATATATTAACTTAAATAAAGCCGCACTGGAATCATATTAAGAAGGGAGATTAATTCTTAATCGGGTAACGACAATAGTGCCGTACTAGAACCAGATTAAGTGATGAACAAAATTTTAAAGAAACAAAGAACATAAATGAATAAGAAAACTTAAAAGCATATTAAAGAACTGAAAGAGTAGATTATAAAGAATAATTAAAATCAGACATGGTATATGATTAAGCATTAAAAGATTAGTTGAAAGACTTAAGAATTTGAACTTCCAATAAGTTTTTCTTTTTTTTTGTTTGGGAGAGCTTTTGAGTGGTTACATGTATTGAAAAGATTGTGGGAGGAGAAACTTAGGGAATTAACTTACAAAAGCTTAGTTTACAATGAACGAGACTTACAATTTATAGAAATTTTATTTTTGCTTACTGTAACATCACATGAATACTATTGAGGGAATCTTTGATTTGATTTAAAAAAAATATACCAAATCAAACTTTCCCTCAATAGTATTCATGTGATGTTACAGTAAGCAAAAATTTCTATAAATTGTAAATCTTGTTCATTGTAAACTAAGCTTTTGTAAGCCAATTCTCTAAGTTTCTCCTCCCACACTCTTTTTCAATATATATATATATAATAACTTATTTAGGTGTATGACTATAATTAAAAAAGCCCCCTAATCTTACTTTGTAATGTCATACAACAACATAAGAAAGTTCATGTTTGTTTATAGAAGTTAGGATAGCAAATATTATTTCAGTCTCATATCATGTTATCAACATATGGGATGTATAATAATAATACAGTGATAGGTTGAGTTAACCAAAGAAAAGGGAGATGGGTTAAAGTAAGAGAATTGAGAGATATGAGACTCAAGTGATATTTGCTATAATAATTCTTACAAACTAACTTGAACTTTTGTGGGTTGTTGTATGATGTTATAAAGTAAGATTGAGGGGTTTTTATAGCATATTCCACCGCCCATGAAGCATAACATGTGCCCCTAAGATAATGACTTTTTAATTACAGCCACACACCTAAGTAATTCATTAAATGAATTAATGATGATTTTGATAAGTTTGCAAAAGCAAGTACCACCTAAATATTTCTTTCATGAACGCACACCAATGTAGATGCACGAGTTCATGGTTTTCTGCCTTTTTTAAGTTGCTGTACAGTACTTACAAGGTTTCATATATGGAATTCTTTTGAAGTTTTAAGTGTCTCCATAATTCTTATATGTAGCACTCTAGTTAGTTTCTTTTAAATGTTTATGTTGCTGATGTTTGTTTGGGTTGTTTGGAGATCTTAAGGGTAATGAATGAACTCGATTATAATCTCTCTGTGTATGATTTGATAAGAGTTGGTTGGTTTTTAATGGTATTAATGATTCCTTCAGGTTTCCATATTTGGTTAAATGTTGTTTTCTTAAATCTAGCGAATGCTGATATGGAATTTTTATAAATGTCATAATTAATATATATTAGTTAGTAACATGTTTATGTCTCTTTTGTAGACTACCAACCTGTCTTGTATTGGTATGTGAACCTTGTGATTGATTCCAGTCCTTTAGCCCCTCCTTCCTTTGTCAGGTCAATCCTTCAGTGCCGTTTTTCATGAATTTTTCTGATTTATCCACCCTTGGTTATGTTATGAAGTTTATTTCAATGTGGTTGTAATTCTTTTTTTCTGCTTTCATCATGCTCAAATTCTGGTTCTCTCTTGATACAATTGCTTGCTGTTACTACTCTTTTTTTTTTGGGTTTTGTTTTGTAGATTCTGAAAATAACCTTTACAGCTTTTGTCAACACTGATTAGATTTTAGTCTTGGTTATATATATGTGACATATCCTTTTTCTTTTTTCTTGAACAAGTTCTGTGTGTGCCTTTTTGACCATTCTCTGCACCATATGGTTTGTGACATAAGCCTTTTCAATTTCATTTTATTTATTTTTGCTATTTTATCGTTAATGGTTCTTTTACCATTTTTATTATTATTTTAATTTCTTAATTTCTTTTGATACCGGTCCATGCCACTTCTCCCCTATTTACAGGAAATTGATTCTGAGACTGCATATGATTGGTTTCAGAATGATCAAATTTGCATGATTTTCTAGTACAGGAAATTAAAGATTTCTGGACATTAACATATACTTATGTTTTATTTTCTGCAGGTGTATGGAGAGTTCCTGGATGGAGAGTTCCTGGACAGAGCTTTGAGCTCCAAACAGAGAGACACTTATACTTCGGTACTCTTTTATGCTTCCTGGTGCCCATTTTCTCGCAGTATGCATCCTACATTTGAAGTACTTAGCTCCATGTTCCCACAAATGGAACATTTTGCTATTGAACAATCTTCAGCTCTGCCAAGGTGCTTACTTAACTCGATTCTAATAATATGCTACAGTTGTGTGATCAGATTAGTTTCTTCTTTATATGATATGGCTACTATGGAGAAGTGACGGGACTTGATCAATATATGTGCTTCGAGTATGATGACTAAATTATTAGTAGATGCTTGATTGAGGTGAAGGTATTATTGGACTCTAGTCGATATATGTAGTTATTAGTTTCATGATAAAGAAGAAGCTTTGATACAAAGAATAGTTTTGGTTAATAAAGAAAAAAAAAAAAAAAAAGTTTCTGATGGTGTGCCTGTGTCGTGGATTGTACCTTTGTTCACATCTATGTAACTTTTGCTGAACAATAGTAATCATGTGGAACACTATATTGTCAAGCATGTATTTTCACTGTTATTTTTACTAGATAAAAATCTGAAGTATTATGTTCATATGCATTTACAAACGCCAACTTTAGCCCTGTGCCAGATCCAGATTCTAGTATCTTCGACACCTCATGACCAATCATAACTCTCACCCACATGGACACTGATGAGTGGAAAAAGAAAGGCTAATATGAAATAATACTTTCTAATTAATTGATCCATTTTAATTTCTCTGTGAAAGGATATCTGGCTTTTAATAGAATGCTCTTACTAGTGATGTCCCACCCCTGTTTAGTAGTTAGTGGGACTTAACATGATCTTCAATCCAAAGTATAATTGGATACTATTATTCATTAAGTTATTATACTTGTATGTTTTCATGCAGTGTATTTTCAAGATATGGAATCCATAGTCTCCCCTCAATTTTATTGGTGAATCAAACATCAAAGTTGCGATATCGTGGTCCAAAAGATCTCCACTCCCTTGTTCAATTTTATCAGAAAACAACAGGTAGTCATTTCTTTTTCATAGCAGAGAAATGAGTTTATTTCTGGTCTATTGCATGAGCACTATACCTTTTAATTCTGCCTGTAATGTTTTCAAGGTTTGCCTTGACTTGACTCGGTTGTAAGGAAATGTGACTATGAAACATTGTTTAATGAAACAATCCTTGTGGAGTCTGAAGGAGTCTTTTAATTGATGTCTGCCCTTTCCTCTTATATCCCAGAGATCCAGATCCATAATTTAACCCAATTTGTGAACACCAGGAAACTATTGATTCTGCTTATGTCTTTACCTCACTATCTATATTTCAGGGCTCGAACCAGTGGAATATTTTGCTGAAGATGAATCAGCCAGCTTGGGGAGGAGTGATGAATTAATCATGCAGTCCTGGAACAGGTCTTCACTGAGACAGATGATTCAGAACAAACCCTACTTGGTATTTTCAGTATTCTTCCTCTGTCTGAGGTTGCTTATATCCATATTCCCAGAAGTCTCATCTCGTCTAAAAGCTTTCTGGGATTCATATGTTCCTCACTTAAACTTGGAAATATTTGGTGAGACAAGCCAAATATTTGGGCGTGCCCTTCACATGATCGATGTGAGGAGGGTCTTGACCAAACTGAGACTTTGCAAGACCAGGAACTTCCGTGAAGGTGCAAAGAATGCTCGGGTTTGGGCTTCCCTGGCTTCTGTCTCCCTGGGTGAATCTTCTTCATCTAGGTCATCATCCTGAGGTTGAAGTCACTGTACCAGGCGAGCCAAACTGAGGATTGAAAGAGCTTATTGATCAGATAGTGTGATACAGAGTGGTGATGCAATACGGTATTCTCTCTCTCTCTCTCCCTCATCTAATGTTGGTCAAGTTTTACTGTAGTGATGATAGCTGAAGCTGTTGTCCTTGTTTGAGTTGGGTCTTTTTGGGAAGGAAGCAAACAAGCATGTAAATTGAGAACAGCTCTCTTTTTTGTGTATATTAATGTAATGTCATTTGGAGGAACTACTTCACACATCAGTACAATGTAAACCTATTTAACTTCTCGTCGTGTCTTTTTCTCTCGCATACTCTCTGTCTCTCTTTCACTCTCATGTCACGATTGCGCCCAAAACACCTCTGCACATGTACTTTATAGCCGCAAATGGTAACTTGACATATGATACTGTGCATGAAATTGAGATTATACAATAACTGTGACGATAATAGGCTGGAAATGTTAGTGGTCCTCTTGTATTTCTGCATCAATCTGATGATTCTCAAAGGACTACTGAACTGAAGTTACCAGATCAGTAACTTAGCTATTCTCATAAATGTTTGTGGGATCCATATTCTCTATTGTTTTGATGTCTCCAAAACAATCCAAAAATTGGACCGTCTGATGTTTGGAATTGTACAAGAAGTTGCCTTTTTGATGTTAGGCTTGTCACTGCGGGAATGCCTCTCTATTATTATCAGGACCACTTCATCTTGCCCTGTTTGGTTTAAGGTTAAAAACTAATTCATCCTCCTAGATCATTTGTTCATTTTTGGAAATTTTTTGTAACATTCATAGTGTTCTAGGGGTGTGCAAAAAAACCCGTTACCCGGTATCCGACCCTTATCCAAGCTTAATCCAAAAAAATGGGGTACCTGGAAATCCAATTCGGTTTTGGGTAGTTATAAATAGATACCCACATATTCAGTTCGTGTACCGGTTTGATTTTGAAAGAATCCGGGTACCTGAACATTAACCGGTTTCCTCTTAAAACGAAACTAAATTTTTTCTATGGGAAGCCTCAACTCTATTCAGCAGTTGACTCAGTTGACACAAATTTGGGGATCGATAGGCTGTTCTCTTCTTGGTTTAACTTCAGTTCGTGTTGTGCTCCATTGATTCCTCAGTCTGCCGTCCGCACTCTGTCGTCGTCACTCCTTCAATTGCAGGCTGTTTCATTCGTCTCCAGCTGTAAGTTTGCTATTCCTTCTCTTATTCTTGCTATCTCCTGTTTGTTGATGAAGAATCATATGACTTTTCTTGGTCATCCTTTCGGCTCAAACACCAATTGCGTATTTGGTAGGATTCAGCTTTCTTTGTTAAAAGGCTTAAAGCTAGTTATGTTTGTAATTTTGTAAATGTGTGTAAAAATCTGTTATATGAATTCATCCTGTAAGCATTAAAACGAGTGATGAGTGCCTAAATTTACCGCAGGTGGAATAAAACAAGATTCTTGTTCTGAAGGCAGCAGCTTGTTTGTTGTTTCTATTAAAATGCACCAGCAGCTTCTTTGTTAAATTGTTGTTTCTATTAAAAATTTAAAACACTCCATTTTATGTTTGGTGTATGCACCAAGTAGTTTGTTTCTATTCAAATTTTTATGTTTGAATTAAAAATTGAGAAAGTTTAGAAGAAATTCTACAATATATAAGTGAAAGCTTGAAATTGGGTTCAACATTCAGGTACCCGGTATCTTAACCGAATTTTCAAGTACCTAAAAACCGGGTAATTCAAAAACTGGTTTGGTTACCGAGTACACTTAGAGCCTGACCCGAATATTCAGTTCGAGTTAGTCAAATGCAAAACCGGTTCAGGTACTCAGTTTTGCATAACCCTAGACTGTTCTACTTTCCAATTTTGGATTCTGCCTTTTTGACCAAAAACCTATATATAATTTGAAGTGCAAATTTCGGTGTCAATCTCTTGTAGTTTGTATCCCGTAACAGGATTTTTGGATAGGGAGACTTTCTTTTTTCTTCTACTCCATAGATCAATGTTACATAATTTCTTTATAATTTTAATTGGGTTAATTGTTCTAATGATCTTTAAAAGCTATTAAATACCTTTTACTTTTCGGTGATGGGGGGTATTCTAATTAGTTTGCGCATATCTCAATTAATCTCCTAAGGCTTTGAAGCTAACGATTAGGTAGATATTGTAATAGTCACCCTATTATCAACCAGGAGAAATAACTTCTTATACGAGAATTTTCAATATATTTTAAGAATATTTCATTATTTGTGAGAAAGTATTTGTAATTTGACTTAACAATCTCTCGGGACGATGAAATGAACCTATTTTATTTTACACGGTTCATATTTTTTAATAGTAATTGTATAAAAGTGAAAAAAGAATACTCTCCATCTCCATCTCAATTTAGATTGGTGGAGCTTTCAGGCCTCTCAATTTCAAAGTATGCAGGTTCATCAAGTAAAATAATATATTATTTTCAGTACAGGCAACGTGTTAGTTTGTCAAGCCTCATGGAAAAGGACATAATTTCTTCGTTTTCTTTTTTAAAGTTTAAAAGGTTAAATTTGGGGTAACTTACAAGTCAAGCAAATCAGATGTGCTTTTAATGGAAGCTAAAGCCTTTGTTGTTTAAGAACTTCAATTAAATAATCAATATACTTACAATAAAGATAAAGCTTATGGTTTGTTTTACTCAGATTTGAAAAATTAGAGATAATACGAATAAACGTACGATCTCAGATTTGATTCTCTATATGAGTATCTGTAAGTGACTATATATTTCTATACTAATCTCTCTCAATGATTAATTGAAGTACGTGTAAATTGACGCAAATATCTTAATTAAAAAAAAAAATTTATATTGTAGAATTCAACATAGATTTCAATTTCGAACATGGTTTTGCTAGCGGATTCAAATATTTCTAGATAATAAAATTAATAAAAATAGAGAAAAAATAAGAGGGTATAAATGTCATTAAAATAAGATAGGATTAGAAGGTATTGCAGAAGAATTGAAGGAAAAGGTCAATAAAGATACCAGCGCATGGACAGTTGTAGGGTGGGCCTTTATTTATTTATTTACTTATTTTAAAGAGAAACCCAGAAAGTCATTTTCATTCTTGCCCAACTCTTACAAGAAACCTACCAACCTATACACTGTTTTCCCTTTCCCATCACGAGACTAATAAAGATTTAGTCAAAGAATCCGATCTGTTAATATTTACCATTTTTATCAAATCAATTTCTATGTTAAATTAATAATATTTGTTCCTTTTATGTCATGCTATCTTTTGATTTGGATAATAAAATTTGTAAAATTATGTGCTACTACTATTCCCTAATGGTGGAATCAAGAAATTATATTTGAGAATTATCTCTGGGTGGTCGAGTGATTTGATAGAGACTCTTGAATATATTATTCAAAATATCCTAAGTTTAAGTCCCTCTTTAGGTGCTAATACGGGTAGCCATTGAAGCTCTTACTCGGTCGATAGTTCTAAAGTTTTGAGAGATTAGTTGAAGTGCGTATAAACTGACTCGGACACTTCCGATAATTAAAAAAAAAAATTGCATTGGGGAGAGTTAAAGTGTAAAGTTCAATAAACGGGAGGTCAAAGGAAAAAAAAAATTATTTGAAGATAAGAAATTTAGATTTAAAATCTAAAAACTTTTGTGGGATGTAAGGTAGGCATGAATAGGTTTTTTAGTTCTCATGAGTTGAGCGTTCGCCAATTACCTAAAAAACTAAAACAAAATATGCAACCAATGTCTATCTAATGTGGGATCATGACACTCTCTCCTATCTGACCTCATTACATTCGACATTATTATTGGTAATTACAACTTACCATTTGTAATTTTGTACTCGACTCACCCTATTGGTCGGTTTAAAGGACACGTATAGTCGAAACACGTCACCATTTTTTATTTTTTGTTAACTCAAGAAAGGATCCTAATTCATTTTGGTAACAGTTTTCATGTTTAAAAGTCCTCTCTCTATGTCTCTCTCAAATGTTCATAAAACACCAAAAAAGGGATCCTCAGAACTACCATTCTCACCCCATGTTGAACTCTAGTTTAATTTAATCCAAAGTGATGTTAAAGAAATCAAACTTGGAAATTAAAATAATGCAATAAAGAATTGAAAAGAAATATCTAGGATAACCTAATGGGACCCTCAATGGACCACTCTTCTTTATCATCTCTAGACAAGATAAGCTCTCTCCAAATTCTCTTTAACTTTCCCTCACTTCATGGCTTCATTTTTCCCTTGATTGATTGAGCAAGAGCAATGAAGAGGACACCCATGGTGGTGCCCTTTTTAGCTCTTCTTTCTCTAATATTCGTCTCCACTAAAATCCATCCATAGCACACCTTCTTTGATCCAATAATTCAACCAAACCAATCACCAAACAAAAAATTCCAAAGATCCCACTTACCAAAACCCCTATTTCTACCTTGTATTTGATCCATTTCCAGGAAAGATTCTTACTCAAGATGGATCTTGATGAGTGGGAATTCCTTCCCGATCGAAGGTTCCTAGATTTTCCTGAAGATTCCGATGAGAAAAAAATCATCTCAGGGAAGCGTAGTTACAGTTCTAAAACATTTTTTGATATGAATTACTTCTCACCAAACTCTCCAGGATCAAGATCAAATTCTGGGAAAGTACCCAAACAGCTTGTTCCAATTCCTTTTGACCTGGAACCAGGACTTGGAAAGTCTCCAGCTCCAGGTGATGAATTTTCTAAAGAAATCATCATCAAAACTCCTGTAGATGTTAATTTTATCCCGTCCGTGATCGCTGAGAAGATCAACAAGGGTCCTGTTATTGGATCCCTTGAAGCCGATCAAGACTCAGTGTCACAAGTTTTCTTCAAGAAAATGAAGGAAAATGAATTTGTCGACATGAAAATGGACTCACCGAAGTCCCCAACTTCAAGAAACCTCATGCCTCAGGTTGATCCAGGCACGTTCAACTTTGAGGACAAGAGTGACCAGGCCCTGGAAGGAATGAATTGTCATTCTCCAAGGAAGACCACCATCGATTTTGAAGCTGATCGGAAACAAGAAGCCACTTGGGAGGAGGAGGAGGAGAACGGTGGAGGCCTTAGTCTTTGGAAATGGAGCTTAACAGGGGTTGGCGCTATTTGCTCCTTTGGTGTTGCTGCCGCCACCATTTGTATCATCATCTTTGGCAGTCAACACAAGACTAAACAACAACAAAATCAGAAGCTTCGTTTCCAAATTTATACTGATGACAAGGTTTGCATATTTATTCAACTTATTCCTGACCAATTTTTGGCCTTATTAGTCCAGNTTTTTTTTTTTTCTCTCTCTTCGTCACTTTCCTCTCTCTTCTGTATAACTTTATTCTCTCTTATTCTCTTTCTTCTTCCTTCCTCTTTCTCTTCTGTCTCCTCTTCTTTTTCTTTTTCCTTCCCTTCCCTTTTACTTCACTTGACGGCCAAGAAGGCCTTGGCCACCACAATCTGGCCAAACAAGGTCCAAATCGGATGGCCACTTCTTCCTTCCCCTCCCTCTTACTTCTTCTTCTTCACTTTAATTGAAACCCAAATTAGAGAGCCGAAAACGCAATGAACAAGTGGTGAGATAAAATGAGATGGGTACCTCATTGAATGGCGACTACAGTGCCGTTGGCAACGGTGGTCGATTGAAGAAAGCAATAGTGGAAGAGAGAAAATGTAGGTTAGGGTTCAATTGTCGAATGAAAATGGTAAAAGAGATTTAGAATTAGATTTTAGAATTAAGGAATAAGAGTTAATCCAGTTTTGGCAAAAAATCGGTTGGTTCACCATAGTAACCCTGGTTCAACTATGGGTCAAAACAGGTGAACTCTTATTTTCGGTTTTTCACCTTGACTAGCCCGACTCAGTGGCCATTCCCGATCCGATTGGTTGAACCAGCCAAGCCGAGTCAAATTTTAAAATAGAGGTCTTGAACTTTACAAGAGGATATTGGTAAATAACTTGTTTAGTACATAGAAACGAAGAGTTCAATTTTATATTGTTAAAATCCAATACTCTAAAAATAATCTTATGGAAATAAATAAATAAATTGAAAAGTATGTTGATCATAATATTTCGAATGAAGTAAATTAGGGCTTTTATAGAAATCTAAAAACGCTCTTTTTCTGTAAGACTTAAAATGTTTCAAGTATTGAAGAATGAAATTTGTATTTTTCACACTATAATCAAGTATATCTTCTTCTTTCTTTAATTTATAAAATTGAAAGTATACTCCATATGACAAACGTTCACCTAAGAGTTAACGATCAAAGTATTAACTATAAACTCAAATACGCTTTAGTTTTAATTCTATTCTTTAAATTCATATAAGTTATAAACTTGATTGGTGCGATTTTTATCATTTTACAAACTTAAATAAAATATGAATTGTGATATAGATATTGGTATATGTTTACAAAGTTCATCTCTCCATTTATCTTATTTCTATTATCGATATTACGTAGTCAATTCTATCGTACTCGACAACTTAGATTTCAAGCAACGAGAAAAATACCTTAACCATGAAATCCTTCCCAGCTTGGATATGACTTACCAACAAATGAAAAGACCAATTTGTTAGTGTTTTTATAATAATTTAAGGATACGTACCCATATATTTATTTATGTTTGTTGATGAGTTATTTAAACAAAAGATTTATTATGTTGATGGGTTGGAGAGTTGACAATCAATCTCTCTAAGCCAACCATGTATCATTTGTTAAAAAGAGTTAAATTATTTGTATTAGATAGGGGCATTGCTCAATCATTTAAAGGGAAGAAATGTGAGAGGATTTGCATGTGCTTATGCCTAATTAATTGAGTGTGAAACACTCCATTGGTTTAGGCAAAAGTATTCATTCTTTCTTGCATCATTAAAGTTCATTCTTGGTTCTTTCTTAGAGAGTAACAGTAAGTCAATGAATTCATCTATATTTATTTCAAATTTAAATCATTGATCATATTTATTTCAAAGTTCACGATACGTGAATTTGTTATACTAAATCATTTCGATAAGGATTATTTTTCTATCTTTAATATTTTCATAATATCTATTATATATATTGTGAACTATATATGATAAAGAAATGAAACATCTCGAAATAATTACTTTATATTAATTTTCCTCAATGAAAATCTTGAAGAGATATTTCCGAAGAAATAACTGCTCTTACTAGTGATGTCCACCCTGTTTAGTAGTTAGTGGGACTTAACATGATTTTCAATCCAAAGGATAATTGTGATACTTATTTCATAAGTTATTATACTTGAGTTTTTCATGCAGTGTATTTTCAAGATATGGAGTCCATAGTCTCCCCTCAATTTATTGGTGAATCAAACATCAAAGTTGCGATATCGTGGGCCAAAAGATCTCCACTCCTTGTTCAATTTATCAGAAAACACAGGTAGTCATTTCTTTTCATAGCAGAGAAATGAGTTTATTCTGGTCTATTGCATGAGCACTATCACTTTTAATTCGCCTGTAATGTTTTTAAGGTTTGCCTGACTTGACTCGGTTTGTAAGGAAATGTGACTATGAAACATTGTTTAATGAAACAACTTGTGGAGTCTGAAGGAGTCTTTTAATGTGTGCCTGCCCTTTCCTTTTATATCCCAGAGTCCAGATCTATATTAACCCAATTTGTGAACACCAGGAAACTATTGATTCTGCTTATGTCTTTACCTCACTATCTATATTTCAGGCTCGAACCAGTGGAATATTTTGCTGAAGATGAATCAGCCAGCTTGGGGGGGAGTGATGAATTATATGCAGTCTGGAACAGGTCTTCACTGAGACAGAGATTCAGAACAAACCACTTGGTATTTTCAGTATTCTTCCTCTGTCTGGTTGTTATATCCAATTCCCAGGAAGTCTCATCGTCTAAAAGCTTTCTGGGGATTCATATGTTCCTCACTTAAACTTGGAAATATTTGGTGGACAAGCCCAAATATTGGGCGTGCCCTTCACATGATCGATGTAGGAGGGTCTGACCAAGCTGAGACTTTGCAAGACCAGGAACTTCCGTGAAGGTGCTAAGAATGCTCGGGTTTGGGCTTCCCTGGCTTCTGTCTCCCTGGGTGAATCTTCTTCATATGGTCATCACCTGAGGTTGAAGTCACTGTACCAGGGAGCCAAACTGAGGATTGAAAGAGCTTATTGATCAGATAGTGTAATACGAGTGGTGATGCCAATACGGTATCTCTCTCCTCTCTCCCTCATCTAATGTTGGTCAAGTTTTACTGTAGTGTGATGATAGCTGAAGCTGTTGTCCTTGTTTGAGTTGGGTCTTTTTGGGAAGGAAGCAAACAAGCATGAATTGAGAACAGCTCTCTTTTTTGTGTAATTAATGTAATGTATTGGAGGAACTACTTCACCATCAGTACAATGTAAACCTATTTAACTTCTCGTGTGTCTTTTTCTCTTGCATACTCTCTGTCCTCTTTCACTCTCATGCTCACGATTGCGCCCAAAACACCTCTGACATGACTTTATAGCCCGCAAATGGTAACTTGACTATGATACTGTGCATGAAATTGAGAGATATACAATAACTGTGAAGATAATAGGCGGAAAGTTAGTGGTCCTCTTGTATTTTCATCAATTAATGATTCTCAAAGGACATACTGAACTGAAGTTACAGATCAGTAACTTAGCTATTCTCAAAAATGTTTTGTGGGGATCCATATTTCATGTTTTGAGTCTCCAAAAATCCAAAAATGGACCATCGATGTTTGGAATTTACAAGAAGTTGCCTTTTGATGTTAGGCTTGTCACTGCGGAATCCTCTCTATTTATACAGGACCACTTCATCTGCCTTTTTGGTTTAAGGGTAAATACTAATTCTTCCTCCTAGAACTATTGTCATTTTTGGAAATTTTTTGTAACATTCATAGTGTTCTAGGGGTGTGCAAAAAACCCGTTACCCGGTATCGACCCTTATCCAAGCTTAATCCAAAAAAATGTACCGAAATCCATTCGGTTTTGGGTAGTTATAAATAGATAACCACATATTCAATTCGGGTACGGTTTGATTTTGAAAGAATCCGGGTACCTGAACATTAACCGGTTTCCTCTTAAAACGAAACTAAATTTTTTCTATGGGAAGCCTAACTCTATTCAGCATTGACTCAGTTGACCAAAATTTGGGGATCGATAGGCTGTTCTCTCTTGGTTTTAACTTCAGTTCGTGTTGTGCTCCATTGATTCCTCAGCTGCCGTCCGCACTCTGTCGTCGTCACTCCTTCATGCAGGCTGTTTCATTCGTCTCCAGCTGTAAGTTTGCATTCCTCCTTAATTCTTGCTATATCCTGTGTTGTGTGAGATTTGAAGAATCATTGACTTTTCTTGGGATCCTTTCGGCTCAAACACCAATTGCGTATTTTGGTAGGATTCAGCTTTCTTTGTAAAGGCTTAAAGCTAGTTATGTTTGTAATTTTGTAAATGTGTGTAAAAATCTGTATATGAATTATCCTGTAAGCATTAAAACGAGTGATGGTGCCTAAATTTACCGCAAGTGGAATAAAACAGATTTGTTCTGAAGGCGCAGCTTTTGTTGTTTCTATTAAAATGCACCAGCAGCTTGTTTGTTAAATTGTTGTTTCTATTAAAAATTAAATACTCCATTTTATGTTTGTGTATGACCAGTAGTTGTTTCTATTCAATTTTGTGTTTGAGTTAAAAATTGAGAAAGTTTGGAAGAAATTCTGCAAATATAAGTGAAAGCTTGAATTCGGTTCAACATTCAGGTACCCGGTATCCAAACGAATTTTGATCTAAAACCGGTAATCAAAAACTGGTTTGGTTATCGAGTACACTTAGAGCCTAACCGAATATTCAGTTCGGTTAGTCAAATGCAAAACCGGTTCAGGTTACGTTTGCACACCCCTAGACTGTTCTCCACTTTCCAATTTTGGATTCTGCTTTTTGACCAAAAACCTAATATAATTTGAAGTGCAAATTTCGGTGTCAATCTCTTGTAGTTTTATCCCGTAACTGGATTTTTGAGATAGGGAGACTTCTTTTTTTTTTACTCCCAATGTTACATAATTTCTATAATTAATGGGGTAATGTTCTAACGATCTTTAAAAGCCATAAATACTTTTTTTTTTCGATGAGGGAGGTGTTCAGACTAATTGCGTGTACTCGATAATCATCTTAAGACATTAAAATTAACGATGAATAAATATTGCAATAGTCACTTCTATTAGCAACCAAGGAAAAATAATTTCTATGAGGATTTTCGAATATTTTTAAGAATATTTCATTATTTGTTTAAGAAAGTATTTGTAATTTAACTTCACAGTCTCTCGGACCATGAAATGAACCTATTTATTTAAATGGTTCATATTTTTATAGTAATTATAAAAATGAAAAAAAAAGAATACTCTCCATCTCAATTTAGATTGGTGGAGCTTTCAGGCCTCTCAATTTCAAAGTATGCAGGTTCGTCAAGTAAAATAATATATATTTTCAGTACAGGCAACGTGTTAGTGTGTCAAGCTCATGGAAAAGGACATAATTTCTTCCTTTTCTTTTTAAAGTTTAAAGGTTAAATTGGGGGAACTTACAAGTCAAGCAAATCAAATGTGTTTTAATGGAAGCTAAAGTCTTTGTGTTTAAGACTTCAATAAATATCAATATACTTACAATAAAGATAAGTTTATGGTTTGTTTTACTCAGATTTGAAAAATTAGGGATTCACACGTTGATTCATATTTGATTTCCTATAGAGTATTTGTGAGTGACGATGTATTTCTGCATACTGTTCATCCTAAAGATTAATTGAATGTGCATAAGTTAACTCATATATTTTGATACAAAAAAAAAAAAAAAAAACTAAGTTGTAGAATTTACGTAGATTTCAATTACGAACATGGTTTTGCTAGGGATTCAAATCTAGATTATAAAAAAAATATAAAAATAGAGAAAAAATAAGAGGGCATAAATGTCATTAAAATAAGAAAGGTTAGAAGGTATTGCAGAAGAATTGAAGGAAAAGGTCAATAAAGATACCAGCCCATGGACAGTTGTAGGGGGCCTTTATTTATTTATTTTAAAGAGAAACCCAGAAAGTCATTTTCATTCTTGGCCAACTCTTACAAGCGACAAACCAACCTATACATGTTTTCCTTTCCATCACGAGACTAATAAGATTTAGTCAAAGAATCCGATTGCTAATATTTTCCATTTTTATCAAAACAATTCTATGTTAAATTAATAATATTGTTCCTTTTATGTCATATATCTTTGATTTGGATAATAAAATTTGTAAAATTATGTGTGCTAACTATTCCCTAATGGTGGAACCAAGAAATGCATTGAGAATATCTTTGAATGATCGAGGGTTTTATAGAGACTCTTAAATATATATTCAAAATTCTAAGTTGAGTCTCTCTTTGAGTACTAACAGGGTGTCATTGAAGCTTTTATTCGATCGGTAGTTCTCAGTCTTGGAAGGTTAGTTGAGGTACACATAAACTGGCTAACCCTCTTGATATTAAAAAAAAAAAAAATGCAGGGGAAGATTAAGTGTAAATTCAATAACAGGAGGTCAAGGTAAAAAAAATTGTTTGAAGATAAGAAAATTAGATTTAAAATCTAAAAACTTTTGGGATCTAAGGTAGGCATGAATAGGTTTTGTTCTCTCAAGTTGAGCGTTTGCCAAATTACCCAAAAAACTAAAACAAAAGGATTACCATGTCTATTGATGTGGGATCATGGCATTTCTCCTCTTGACCCTCATTACATTTGTAATTTTGTGCGTCGACTCACCCTATTGGTCGATTTAAAGGACACGTAATGTCGAAACACGTCACCATTTTTTTTTTTTTTTTAACCCAGAAGGATCCTAATTCATTTTGTAACCGTTTTCATGTTTTAAAGACCTCTCTCTATGTTCTCTCAATGTTCATAAAACACCAAAAAAGGGATCCTGAGAACTACCATTCTCACCCCATGTTGAACTCTAGTTTAATTTAATCAAAGTGATGTAAAGAAATAAACTTGGAAATTAAAATAATGCAATAAAGAATTGAAAAAAATCTTAGGTAACCTAATGGGACCCTCAATGGACCACTCTTTCTTATCATCTCTAGACAAGAAAGTTCTCTCCAAATTCTCTTTAACTTTCCCTCACTTCATGGCTTCATTTTTCCTGAATTGATTGAGCAAGAGCAATGAAGAGGGCACCCATGGTGGTGCCCTTTTTAGCTCTTCTTTCTCTAATATTCTTCTCCCACTAAAATCCATCCATGCACACCTTCTTTGATCCAATATTCAACCAACCAATCACCAAACAAAAAATTCCAAAGATCCCACTTACCAAACCCCTATTTCAACCTTGTATTTGATCCATTTCCAGGAAAGATTCTTACTCAAGATGGATCTTGATGAGTGGGAATTCCTTCCCGATCGAAGGTTCCAGATTTCCTGAAGATTCCGATGAGAAAAAAATCATTCAGGGAAGCGTAGTTACGTTCTAAAACATTTTTTGATATGAATTACTTCTCACCAAACTCTCCAGGATCAAATCAAATTCCGGGAAAGTACCAAACAGCTTGTTCCAATTCTTTGACCTGGAACCAGGACTTGGAAAGTCTCCAGCTCCAGGTGATGAATTTTCTAAAGAAATCATCATCAAAACTCCTGTAGATGTAACTTTATCCCGTCCGTGATCGCTGAGAAGATCAACAAGGGTCCTGTATTGGATCCCTTGAAGCTGATCAAGACTCAGTTCACAAGTTTTTCAAGAAAATGAAGGAAAATGAATTTGTCGACATGAAAATGGACTCACCGAAGTCCCAACTTCAAGAAACCTCATGCCTCAGGTTGATCCAGCAAGTTCAACTTTGAGGTACAAGAGTGACCAGGCCCTGGAAGGAATGAATTGTCATTCTCAAGGAAGACCGCCATCGATTTTGAAGTGATCGGAAACAAGAAGCCACTTGGAGGAGGAGGAGGGAGAACGGTGGAGGCCTGCTCTTTGGAAATGGAGCTTAAACTGGGGTTGGCGCTATTTGTCCTTTGGTGTTGCTGCCGCCAACATTTGTATCATCATCTTCGGCAGTCAACACAAGACTAAACAACAACAAAATCAGAAGCTTCGTTTCCAAATTTATACTGATGACAAGGTTTGCATATTTATTCAATTATTCCTGACAATTTTTGGCTTATTAGTTCAGATCCAGATTTTTCAGTTGTTGGTGTCGTTGTTTTGACAGAATTTTTCTGATTGTTAGATTAAATTAGTGCCTGAAAGCTCTATTTGTCTTATTCAAATGCAGAGGATTAAGCAAGTCGTGCGGCAAGCAAGTAAAAGAATGAAGCAATTTCAGCAGCTAGAGGGGTACCAATCACAGGGCTCACATCACATTTGGTGGTTACTATGATGCTCTCTAAATACACTGCAAGATTAGCTTTTTCAGAATTGGAATCGGAATCAGAATGGGAATGGGAATCAGATTCTATGAGTGGTTTGCTTTGGTGTTGTTTTACAGGATCCTGTAGGTCTGTCTATCTATGATATTATTTGTGAATAATATAAACATAATGTATTATATATGTAATAATTCTGAATCCTATAGCTTGTACTAAGAACTACTTTATTATGTAATTAGTGTGCTTACGTTAATCTACTTTTGTGGTGTTAAAGTTGAGTAGGATTGATGGATTATCCAGTAACAAGTACTATTAAATTTGTTTAGTTGGAAAATGATGTAAGCAAAACTATCTAATAGTAAATATTGGAATTGGATAATTGAAGTGGTTTCAAGAATTGTCTTTGAAGATAATATTTTAAAAGAGTGTAAGAAGATAGCTTCTAAAACTTAATTCTTTTATCTTAATATAATTATATAAGCTAAATAGGAAGGAAAATTATTATACTATTGTTCAGTTTTTTTTTTTTTTTTTTTTAAAATGATACCATGTGTTTGGGCTAATTTACGCGAACCTCAAATAATGTCTTGAGACCTTGGAACTACTAACAAGTAAAAGCTTCAATGATATCTTATTAGCCAACGAGGAGAGACTTAACTCGTACCTTTTGAGTAACACACCTAAGAGTCTTATCGAACCACTCAAGGTAGTTAGTTTCAGTTAATTTCAACTACTCTTCATCTATCAAAAATTGTAAAATATTCACTAAAATGATCAAAAACCTTTTAAAATGTATATATATATAAAAAAAAAGACCCTTTAAAATAATCCAAAAACTTTCTATAATATATATAAACAAAACCCAAATAAAAAATATTAAATAAATTTTTTTTTTTTTTTTTTAAATAAAACGTTATCTAAAATAACTTTGAGTATGATAAGTTTTTTTTTAATTTTTTGGTAACCAAGGAGTCCAAGCAGTTGCATGCACCAATTAGTCTTCAAGTCCATTGAACACCCTACAAGCTCAAAGAACCAAGTAAGTCATAATATGATAGATGACTCTAGAGTCAAACCCAAAAAACTTAATGAAGGGGCAAACTTATGATCGTTAGATTAATCCCTTGGGATTTATGATAATTTCTTACTTTATAGGCTGTTAGAAAGTCTTGTCCTCATGAGACGTTTTTCACTTCATAATATCACCAATATAATTTAAAATGTGCAACACATAATAAAGTTAATAATCTGAAGTAAGCAATTGAAAGATGCATCTTCAACTAATTCTAAAAAATGTGAGAGTTATCTCCAAATCTGTGGAAGATTTTTTTTTGAAAAAACAAAGGGAAAAGGACTGATTGAGAACCAAACCATCCAAACAAATAGATTAAGGAGGGACACATCCAGAAAGGGGTCTCCAAATGAATAATAGCCCAAATAGTCATTATGTTTGATTTTGTAATGGTGGTGGGTTCACTTAAAATTGTGATGACGTGATACCAGAAGTGGAATTTTGTGCTTGGTGCTATGTCAGGGGCAGGCTTAAGATTTTTCAGCTTGTCAATTGTGGAATTAGGTGAGGTGAGGGGGCTAGGGTTAGCCAAGTGGTTAACTTGTAAACCAACAGTAACCAAATTCCAAATACTTGAAGATTCAGAATACGTTAATGATTTGAACATGATCTTTTAGTGCTCATGTCACCTTATTTATTTATATTTTTTTTGGTCAAATATCAAAGTTTTTAATCTACAGATAAGTGATAATAATTTAATTGTATAAAATGTAGAAATCTATAGTTAATTTTTTTTTTTGGGTGCTTTTAATCGACTATCACAATTTTTTAATCTGCGATCATTTAATAATTAATATCATGTTTATAGAAAGTAAAAATCAAAGATAAAGATTAGTTGATAACATTTGGTTTGCACGTTAAAAACTTTATAAAGTTACATCTACAAATCTGTCATGTAGATGTTAAATAAATAAATGTAAATTATTTCATGTGATTATATGGGAGGTGTGCTTCTCAATACCTTATTACTTTTTGTTTACTTTCGGTAATTTTTTTTTTTTAAGTAAATCTAGAGGCTTCTAAACTTTAAATTTGAGAATTTTGTGGACCCAATATTGTCGTGAGAACAACACTGCTAGATTCTGTTTTATTATATCTGTTTATTTGTCCTATTAACTTCTTCAATAAGTTTTTTATGATTTATTTATTTTTTGTGGGTAATAGAGATTAGTTTCTCGTGACTCCTGAAAGGGTATTATATTAATTAGAAGCTAATGTTTTTTTGTTTTTTTTTCTTCTTACCAACTATAATCGCATTGTGACAGAAAAAAAATTACTCTGATAGAACAAAATTTTCCGTAAATTAATAGTTTTAATCTTTCATGGGTCTTGAAACATGTTTAATAAACCGGACTGCTCCTTGACACGGAGAAGGGTTGGTTCCGGGTTGAACCGTCTGACCGTTGTGCAGCAAACACATCCCAAAAGTTCTCCATCAGTCCTTGCAAGCTTGAAATCCAGCAAATACACGCCTAAAAAAATACGCATCCTCTATAGGTTTGAAATAAGAAAAAAACACCTTGCAGCTCTATATTAGATATATTTTCTTGCTCTTCGTCACTTTCTTTTCTATCACTTTCCAGACTCTCTTCTATAAATTTGTTCTCTTTATTCTGTTTCTTCTTTTTCCCTCTTTATCTCATCTCATCTTCTGTTTCTTCTTTATTTAGGTGTATGACTATAATTAAAAAAGCCCCCTAATCTTACTTTGTAATGTCATACAACAACATAAGAAAGTTCATGTTTGTTTATAGAAGTTAGGATAGCAAATATTATTTCAGTCTCATATCATGTTATCAACATATGGGATGTATAATAATAATACAGTGATAGGTTGAGTTAACCAAAGAAAAGGGAGATGGGTTAAAGTAAGAGAATTGAGAGATATGAGACTCAAGTGATATTTGCTATAATAATTCTTACAAACTAACTTGAACTTTTGTGGGTTGTTGTATGATGTTATAAAGTAAGATTGAGGGGTTTTTATAGCATATTCCACCGCCCATGAAGCATAACATGTGCCCCTAAGATAATGACTTTTTAATTACAGCCACACACCTAAGTAATTCATTAAATGAATTAATGATGATTTTGATAAGTTTGCAAAAGCAAGTACCACCTAAATATTTCTTTCATGAACGCACACCAATGTAGATGCACGAGTTCATGGTTTTCTGCCTTTTTTAAGTTGCTGTACAGTACTTACAAGGTTTCATATATGGAATTCTTTTGAAGTTTTAAGTGTCTCCATAATTCTTATATGTAGCACTCTAGTTAGTTTCTTTTAAATGTTTATGTTGCTGATGTTTGTTTGGGTTGTTTGGAGATCTTAAGGGTAATGAATGAACTCGATTATAATCTCTCTGTGTATGATTTGATAAGAGTTGGTTGGTTTTTAATGGTATTAATGATTCCTTCAGGTTTCCATATTTGGTTAAATGTTGTTTTCTTAAATCTAGCGAATGCTGATATGGAATTTTTATAAATGTCATAATTAATATATATTAGTTAGTAACATGTTTATGTCTCTTTTGTAGACTACCAACCTGTCTTGTATTGGTATGTGAACCTTGTGATTGATTCCAGTCCTTTAGCCCCTCCTTCCTTTGTCAGGTCAATCCTTCAGTGCCGTTTTTCATGAATTTTTCTGATTTATCCACCCTTGGTTATGTTATGAAGTTTATTTCAATGTGGTTGTAATTCTTTTTTTCTGCTTTCATCATGCTCAAATTCTGGTTCTCTCTTGATACAATTGCTTGCTGTTACTACTCTTTTTTTTTTGGGTTTTGTTTTGTAGATTCTGAAAATAACCTTTACAGCTTTTGTCAACACTGATTAGATTTTAGTCTTGGTTATATATATGTGACATATCCTTTTTCTTTTTTCTTGAACAAGTTCTGTGTGTGCCTTTTTGACCATTCTCTGCACCATATGGTTTGTGACATAAGCCTTTTCAATTTCATTTTATTTATTTTTGCTATTTTATCGTTAATGGTTCTTTTACCATTTTTATTATTATTTTAATTTCTTAATTTCTTTTGATACCGGTCCATGCCACTTCTCCCCTATTTACAGGAAATTGATTCTGAGACTGCATATGATTGGTTTCAGAATGATCAAATTTGCATGATTTTCTAGTACAGGAAATTAAAGATTTCTGGACATAAACATATACTTATGTTTTATTTTCTGCAGGTGTATGGAGAGTTCCTGGATGGAGAGTTCCTGGACAGAGCTTTGAGCTCCAAACAGAGAGACACTTATACTTCGGTACTCTTTTATGCTTCCTGGTGCCCATTTTCTCGCAGTATGCATCCTACATTTGAAGTACTTAGCTCCATGTTCCCACAAATGGAACATTTTGCTATTGAACAATCTTCAGCTCTGCCAAGGTGCTTACTTAACCTGATTCTAATAATATGCTACAGTTGTGTGATCAGATTAGTTTCTTCTTTATATGATATGGCTACTATGGAGAAGTGATGGGACTTGATGAGTATATTCTTGGCAAATTAGTATGACAGAATAATTTTTTAAGATTTTGATTCTTTTTATGGTTATAATAACATATATTGCACTGTAAAACGTATGGAGTTGCTGATTGTTGTGAAAGTATTATTGGACTTGATCAATATATGTGCTTCAAGTATGATGACTAAATTATTAGTAGATGCTTGATTGAGGTGAAGTTATTATTGGACGCTGGTCGATATATGTAGTTATTAGTTTCATGATAAAGAAGAAGCTTTGATACAAAGAATAGTTTTGGTTAATAAAGAAAAAAAATAAAGTTTCTGATGCTGTGCCTGTGTCGTGGATTGTACCTTTGTTCACATCTATGTAACTTTTGCGGAACAATAGTAATCATGTGGAACACTATATTGTCAAGCATGTATTTTCACCGTTATTTTTACTAGATAAAAATCTGAAGTATTATGTTCATATGAATTTACAAACACCAACTTTAGCCCTGTGCCAGATCCAGATTCTAGTATCTTCGACACCTCATGACCAATCATAACTCTCACCCACATGGACACTGATGAGTGGAAAAAGAAAGGCTAATATGAAATAATACTTTCTAATTAATTGATCCATTTTAATTTCTCTGTGAAAGGATATCTGGCTTTTAATATAATGCTCTTACTAGTGATGTCCCAACCCTGTTTAGTAGTTAGTGGGACTTAACATGATCTTCAATCCAAAGGATAATTGGATACTATTATTCATTAAGTTATTATACTTGTATGTTTTCATGCAGTGTATTTTCAAGATATGGAGTCCATAGTCTCCCCTCAATTTTATTGGTGAATCAAACATCAAAGTTGCGATATCGTGGGCCAAAAGATCTCCACTCCCTTGTTCAATTTTATCAGAAAACAACAGGTAGTCATTTCTTTTTCATAGCAGAGAAATGAGTTTATTTCTGGTCTATTGCATGAGCACTATACCTTTTAATTCTGCCTGTAATGTTTTCAAGGTTTGCCTTGACTTGACTCGGTTGTAAGGAAATGTGACTATGAAACATTGTTTAATGAAACAATCCTTGTGGAGTCTGAAGGAGTCTTTTAATTGATGTCTGCCCTTTCCTCTTATATCCCAGAGATCCAGATCCATAATTTAACCCAATTTGTGAACACCAGGAAACTATTGATTCTGCTTATGTCTTTACCTCACTATCTATATTTCAGGGCTCGAACCAGTGGAATATTTTGCTGAAGATGAATCAGCCAGCTTGGGGAGGAGTGATGAATTAATCATGCAGTCCTGGAACAGGTCTTCACTGAGACAGATGATTCAGAACAAACCCTACTTGGTATTTTCAGTATTCTTCCTCTGTCTGAGGTTGCTTATATCCATATTCCCAGAAGTCTCATCTCGTCTAAAAGCTTTCTGGGATTCATATGTTCCTCACTTAAACTTGGAAATATTTGGTGAGACAAGCCAAATATTTGGGCGTGCCCTTCACATGATCGATGTGAGGAGGGTCTTGACCAAACTGAGACTTTGCAAGACCAGGAACTTCCGTGAAGGTGCAAAGAATGCTCGGGTTTGGGCTTCCCTGGCTTCTGTCTCCCTGGGTGAATCTTCTTCATCTAGGTCATCATCCTGAGGTTGAAGTCACTGTACCAGGCGAGCCAAACTGAGGATTGAAAGAGCTTATTGATCAGATAGTGTGATACAGAGTGGTGATGCAATACGGTATTCTCTCTCTCTCTCTCCCTCATCTAATGTTGGTCAAGTTTTACTGTAGTGATGATAGCTGAAGCTGTTGTCCTTGTTTGAGTTGGGTCTTTTTGGGAAGGAAGCAAACAAGCATGTAAATTGAGAACAGCTCTCTTTTTTGTGTATATTAATGTAATGTCATTTGGAGGAACTACTTCACACATCAGTACAATGTAAACCTATTTAACTTCTCGTCGTGTCTTTTTCTCTCGCATACTCTCTGTCTCTCTTTCACTCTCATGTCACGATTGCGCCCAAAACACCTCTGCACATGTACTTTATAGTTTATACCCGCAAATGGTAACTTGACATATGATACTGTGCATGAAATTGAGATTATACAATAACTGTGACGATAATAGGCTGGAAATGTTAGTGGTCCTCTTGTATTTCTGCATCAATCTAATGATTCTCAAAGGACTACTGAACTGAAGTTACCAGATCAGTAACTTAGCTATTCTCATAAATGTTTGTGGGATCCATATTCTCTATTGTTTTGATGTCTCCAAAACAATCCAAAAATTGGACCGTCTGATGTTTGGAATTGTACAAGAAGTTGCCTTTTTGATGTTAGGCTTGTCACTGCGGGAATGCCTCTCTATTATTATCAGGACCACTTCATCTTGCCCTGTTTGGTTTAAGGTTAAAAACTAATTCATCCTCCTAGATCATTTGTTCATTTTTGGAAATTTTTTGTAACATTCATAGTGTTCTAGGGGTGTGCAAAAAAACCCGTTACCCGGTATCCGACCCTTATCCAAGCTTAATCCAAAAAAATGGGGTACCTGGAAATCCAATTCGGTTTTGGGTAGTTATAAATAGATACCCACATATTCAGTTCGGGTACCGGTTTGATTTTGAAAGAATCCGGGTACCTGAACATTAACCGGTTTCCTCTTAAAACGAAACTAAATTTTTTCTATGGGAAGCCTCAACTCTATTCAGCAGTTGACTCAGTTGACACAAATTTGGGGATCGATAGGCTGTTCTCTTCTTGGTTTAACTTCAGTTCGTGTTGTGCTCCATTGATTCCTCAGTCTGCCGTCCGCACTCTGTCGTCGTCACTCCTTCAATTGCAGGCTGTTTCATTCGTCTCCAGCTGTAAGTTTGCTATTCCTCCTCTCATTCTTGCTATCTCCTGTTTGTTGATGAAGAATCATATGACTTTTCTTGGTCATCCTTTCGGCTCAAACACCAATTGCGTATTTGGTAGGATTCAGCTTTCTTTGTTAAAGGCTTAAAGCTAGTTATGTTTGTAATTTTGTAAATGTGTGTAAAAATCTGTTATATGAATTCATCCTGTAAGCATTAAAACGAGTGATGAGTGCCTAAATTTACCGCAAGTGGAATAAAACAAGATTCTTGTTCTGAAGGCAGCAGCCTGTTTGTTGTTTCTATTAAAATGCACCAGCAGCTTGTTTGTTAAATTGTTGTTTCTATTAAAAATTTAAAATACTCCATTTTATGTTTCGTGTATGAACCAGTAGTTTGTTTCTATTCAAATTTTTGTGTTTGAGTTAAAAATTGAGAAAGTTTGGAAGAAATTCTGCAATATATAAGTGAAAGCTTGAATTCGGTTCAACATTCAGGTACCCGGTATCCAAACCGAATTTTCGAGTATCTGAAAACCGAGTAATTCAAAAACTGGTTTGGTTATCGAGTACACTTAGAGCCTAACCCGAATATTCAGTTCGGGTTAGTCAAATGCAAAACCGGTTCAGGTATCCGGTTTTGCACACCCCTAGACTGTTCTCCACTTTCCAATTTTGGATTCTGCCTTTTTGACCAAAAACCTATATATAATTTGAAGTGCAAATTTCGGTGTCAATCTCTTGTAGTTTATATCCCGTAACTGGATTTTTGGAGATAGGGAGACTTTCTTTTTTATTTTACTCCCAATGTTACATAATTTCTATATATGTTAATTGGGTTAATTGTTCTAACGATCTTTAAAAGCCATTAAATACCTTTTTTTTTTCGATGATGGGAGGTGTTCAGACTAACTTGCGTGTACCTCGATTAATCTCTTAAGACATTAAATCTAACGACTGAATAAATATTGCAATAGTCACTTCTATTAGCAACCAAGGAAAAATAATTTCTTATATGAGGATTTTCGATATATTTTTAAGAATATTTCATTATTTGTAAGAAAGTATTTGTAATTTAACTTCACAGTCTCTCGAGACCATGAAATGAACCTATTTTATTTTACATGGTTCATATTTTTTAATAGTAATTATATAAAAATGAAAAAAGAATACTCTCCATCTCAATTTAGATTGGTGGAGCTTTCAGGCCTCTCAATTTCAAAGTATGCAGGTTCGTCAAGTAAAATAATATATTATTTTCAGTACAGGCAACGTGTTAGTGTGTCAAGCCTCATGGAAAAGGACATAATTTCTTCCTTTTCTTTTTTAAAGTTTAAAAGGTTAAATTTGGGGTAACTTACAAGTCAAGCAAATCAAATGTGCTTTTAATGGAAGCTAAAGTCTTTGTTGTTTAAGACCTTCAATTAAATAATCAATATACTTACAATAAAGATAAAGTTTATGGTTTGTTTTACTCAGATTTGAAAAATTAGGGATTCACACGTTTGATTTCATATTTGATTTCCTATATGAGTATTTGTGAGTGACGATGTATTTCTGCACTAGTCTCATCCTAAAGATTAATTGAAATGTGCATAAGTTAACTCATATATTTTGATTACAAAAAAAAAAAAAAAAAAATCTAAATTGTAGAATTCTACGTAGATTTCAATTACGAACATGGTTTTGCTAGCGGATTCAAATATTTCTAGATTATAAAATTAATAAAAATAGAGAAAAAATAAGAGGGCATAAATGTCATTAAAATAAGAAAGGTTTAGAAGGTATTGCAGAAGAATTGAAGGAAAAGGTCAATAAAGATACCAGCCCATGGACAGTTGTAGGGTGGGCCTTTATTTATTTATTTTAAAGAGAAACCCAGAAAGTCATTTTCATTCTTGGCCAACTCTTACAAGCGACCAACCAACCTATACACTGTTTTCCTTTCCCATCACGAGACTAATAAAGATTTAGTCAAAGAATCCGATCTGCTAATATTTTCCATTTTTATCAAATCAATTTCTATGTTAAATTAATAATATTTGTTCCTTTTATGTCATAATATCTTTTGATTTGGATAATAAAATTTGTAAAATTATGTGCTGCTACTATTCCCTAATGGTGGAACCAAGAAATTGCATTGAGAACTATCTTTGAATGATCGAGTGGTTTTATAGAGACTCTTAAATATATTATTCAAAATGTTCTAAGTTCGAGTCTCTCTTTGAGTACTAACAGGGGTCGTCATTGAAGCTTTTATTCGATCGGTAGTTCTAAAGTCTTGGAAGGTTAGTTGAGGTACACATAAACTGGCCTAAACACTCTTGATTATTAAAAAAAAAAAAAAAATGCAGTGGGAAGAGTTAAAGTGTAAATTCAATAAACAGGAGGTCAAAGGTAAAAAAAATTGTTTGAAGATAAGAAATTTAGATTTAAAATCTAAAAACTTTTGTGGGATCTAAGGTAGGCATGAATAGGTTTTTTAGTTCTCTCAAGTTGAGCGTTTGCCAAATTACCCAAAAAACTAAAACAAAAGATTCAACCTATGTCTATTTGATGTGGGATCATGGCATTTTCTCCTCTCTGACCTCATTACATTTGTAATTTTGTGCTCGACTCACCCTATTGGTCGATTTAAAGGACACGTATAGTCGAAACACGTCACCATTTTTTTTTTTTTTTATAACCCAAGAAAGGATCCTAATTCATTTTGGTAACAGTTTTCATGTTTAAAAGACCTCTCTCTATGTCTCTCTCAAATGTTCATAAAACACCAAAAAAAGGGATCCTGAGAACTACCATTCTCACCCCATGTTGAACTCTAGTTTAATTTAATCCAAAGTGATGTTAAAGAAATCAAACTTGGAAATTAAAATAATGCAATAAAGAATTGAAAAGAAATATCTAGGATAACCTAATGGGACCCTCAATGGACCACTCTTCTTTATCATCTCTAGACAAGATAAGTTCTCTCCAAATTCTCTTTAACTTTCCCTCACTTCATGGCTTCATTTTTCCCTTGATTGATTGAGCAAGAGCAATGAAGAGGACACCCATGGTGGTGCCCTTTTTAGCTCTTCTTTCTCTAATATTCTTCTCCACTAAAATCCATCCATAGCACACCTTCTTTGATCCAATAATTCAACCAAACCAATCACCAAACAAAAAATTCCAAAGATCCCACTTACCAAAACCCCTATTTCAACCTTGTATTTGATCCATTTCCAGGAAAGATTCTTACTCAAGATGGATCTTGATGAGTGGGAATTCCTTCCCGATCGAAGGTTCCTAGATTTTCCTGAAGATTCCGATGAGAAAAAAATCATCTCAGGGAAGCGTAGTTACAGTTCTAAAACATTTTTTGATATGAATTACTTCTCACCAAACTCTCCAGGATCAAGATCAAATTCCGGGAAAGTACCCAAACAGCTTGTTCCAATTCCTTTTGACCTGGAACCAGGACTTGGAAAGTCTCCAGCTCCAGGTGATGAATTTTCTAAAGAAATCATCATCAAAACTCCTGTAGATGTTAACTTTATCCCGTCCGTGATCGCTGAGAAGATCAACAAGGGTCCTGTTATTGGATCCCTTGAAGCTGATCAAGACTCAGTCTCACAAGTTTTCTTCAAGAAAATGAAGGAAAATGAATTTGTCGACATGAAAATGGACTCACCGAAGTCCCCAACTTCAAGAAACCTCATGCCTCAGGTTGATCCAGGCACGTTCAACTTTGAGGACAAGAGTGACCAGGCCCTGGAAGGAATGAATTGTCATTCTCCAAGGAAGACCACCATCGATTTTGAAGCTGATCGGAAACAAGAAGCCACTTGGGAGGAGGAGGAGGAGAACGGTGGAGGCCTTAATCTTTGGAAATGGAGCTTAACTGGGGTTGGCGCTATTTGCTCCTTTGGTGTTGCTGCCGCCACCATTTGTATCATCATCTTCGGCAGTCAACACAAGACTAAACAACAACAAAATCAGAAGCTTCGTTTCCAAATTTATACTGATGACAAGGTTTGCATATTTATTCAACTTATTCCTGACCAATTTTTGGCCTTATTAGTCCAGATCCATGATTTTTCAGTTGTTGGTTTCGTTGTTTTGACAGAATTTTTCTGATTGTTAGATTAAATTATGTGCCTGAAAGCTCTATTTGTTCTTATTCAAATGCAGAGGATTAAGCAAGTCGTGCAGCAAGCAAGTAAATTGAATGAAGCAATTTCAGCAGCTAGAGGGGTACCAATCACCAGGGCTCACATCACATTTGGTGGTTACTATGATGCTCTCTAAATTACACTGCAAGATTAGCTTTTTCAGAATTGGAATCGGAATCAGAATGGGAATGGGAATCAGATTCTATGATGTGTTTGCTTTGGTGTTGTTTTACAGGATTCCTGTAGGGTCTGTCTTATCTATGATATTATTTATAAATAATAAACATAAAATAGTTATTATATATGTGTAATAAGTTCTGAATCCTAATAGCTTGTATTAAGAAAACTACTTTATTATTGTTAATTATGTTTTGCTTACGTTAATCTACTTTTTGTGGTGTTAAAGTTGAGTAGGATTGATGGATTATCCAGTAATCAAGTACTAATTAAATTTGGTTTAGTTGGAAAATGATGTAAGCAAAACTATCTAATAGTAATATATTGGAATTGGATAATTGAAGTGGTTTCAAGAATTTGTCTTTGAAGATAATATTTTAAAAGAGTGTAAGCAAGATAGCTTCTAGAAACTTAATTCTTTTATCTTAATTATAAATTATATAAGCTAACTAGATAGGAAGGAAATTATTATATTATGTTCAGTTTTTTTTTTTTTTTTTTTTTTTTAAAATGATAACCAGTGTGTTTGGGCTAATTTACGCGAACCTCAACTAATGTCTTGAGACCTTGGAACTACTAACCAAGTAAAAGCTTCAATGACTACTCTTATTAGCAACAGAGGAGAGACTTGAACTCGTGACCTTTTGAGTAACACACCTAAGAGTCTCTATCGAACCACTCAAAGGTAGTTATGTTCAGTTAATTTCAACTACTCTTCATCTATCAAAAATTGTAAAATATTCACTAAAATGATCAAAAACCCTTTTAAAATGTATATATATATAAAAAAAAAAGACCCTTTAAAATAATCCAAAAACTTTCTATAAATATATAAACAAAAACCCAAATAAAAAATATTAAATAAATTTTTTTTTTTTTTTTTATAAATAAAACTGTTATCTAAAATAACTTTGAGTATGATAAGTTTTTTTTTTAATTTTTTTGGTAACCAAGGAGTCCAAGCCAGTTTGCATGCATCCCAATTAGTCTTCAAGGTCCATTGAACACCCTACAAGCTCAAAGAACCAAGTAAGTCATAATATGATAGATGACTCTAAGATTCAAACCCAAAAAACTTAATGAAGGGAGCAAACCTTATTGATCGTTAGATTAATCCCTTGGGATTTATGATAATTTCTTTTACTTTATAGGTTGTTAGAAAGTCCTTGTCCTCATGAGACAGTTTTTCACTTCATAATAATCACCAATATAATTTAAAATGTGCTTAACACATAATAAAGTTAATAATCTGAAGTAAGCAATTGAAAGATGCATCTTCAACTAATTCTAAAAAAATGTGAGAGTTATCTCCAAATCTGTGGAAGATTTTTTTTTGAAAAAACAAAGGGAAAAGGACTGATTGAGAACCAAAACCATCCAAACAAAATAGATTAATTGAGAGATGACCCACTTCTAGAAAGGGGGTCTCCAAATGAATAATAGCCACAATAAGTATCATTATGTTTGATTTTGTAATGGTGGTGGGTTCACTTAAAATTGTGATGACGTGATACCAGAAGTGGAATTTTGTGCTTGGTGCTATGTCCAGGTGCAGGCTTAATAATTTTTAAGCTTGTCAATTGTGGAATTAGGTGAGGTGAGGTGGGCTAGGGTTAGCCAAGTGGTTAACTTGTAAACCAACAGTAACAAAATTCCAAATACTTGAAGATTCAGAATACTGTTAATGATTTGAACATGATTCTTTTAGTTGCTCATGTCACCTTTTATTTATTTATTATTTATTTTTTGGTCAAATATCATAAAGTTTTTTAATCTACAGATAAAGTTGAATAATTAATTTTTAATTGTATAAAATGTAGAAATCTAATTAGTTAATTTTTTTTTTTTGGTTGCTTTTAATCGACTATCACAATTTTTTTAATCTGCGATCATGTTAAATAATTAATCTTTAATTTATAGAAAGTAAAAAATCAAAGATAAAGATTAGTTGATAACATTTGGTTTGCACGTTAAAAACTTTATAAAGTTTACATCTACAAATCTCGTCATGTAGATGTTAAATAAATATAAATGATAAATTATTTCATGTGATTAATATGGGAGGTGTGCTCTCTCAATACTTATTACTTTTTTGTTTACTTTCGGTAATTTTTTTTTTTTTAAGTAAAATCTAGGTCTTCTAAACTTTAAATTTGAGAATTTTGTGGACCCAATATTGTCGTGAGACCAACACTGCTAGAATTCTGTTTTTATTAATATCTGTTTATTTGTCCTATTTAACTTCTTCAATAAGTTCTTTTATTTATTTATTTATTTTTTGTGGGTAATAGAGATTAGTTTCTCGTGACTCCTTGAAAGGGTATTATATTAATTAAGAAGCTAATGTTTTTTGTTTTTTTTTTTTCTTCTTACCAACTATAATCGCATTGTGACAGAAAAAAAATTACTCTGATAGAACAAAATTTTCCAGTAAATTAATAGTTTTAATCTTTCATGGGTCTTGAACCATGTTTTAAAAACCGGACTGCTCCTTGACACGGAGAAGGGGTTGGTTCCCGGGTTGACCAGTCTGACCGTTGTGCAGCAAACACATCCCTAAAAAGTTCTCCATCAGTCCTTGCAAGCTTGAAATCCAGCAAATACACGCCTAAAAATTACGCATCCATCCCTATAGGTTTGAAATAAAGAAAACACACCCTTGCAGCTTCTATATATATATATTTTCTCTTGCTCTTCGTCACTTTCTTCTTTCTTCTATCACTTTCCACTCTCTCTTCTATAAATTTGTTCTCTCTTATTCTGTTTCTTCTTCTTTCCTCTTTCTCTTCATCTCATCTTCTTTTTCTTCTTCCTTCCCTTCCCTTTTACTTCACTTGACGGCCAAGAAGGCCTTGGCCACCACAATCTGGCCAAACGAGGTCCAAATCGGATGGCCACTTCTTCCTTCCCCTCCTCCTTACTTCTTCTTCTTCTTTACTTTAATAGAGAATGAAACCCAAATTAGAGAGCCAAAAACGCAATGAACACGTGGTGAGATGAAATGAGATGGGTACTTCGTCGAACGACAACCATAGTGTTGTCGACAACGGTGGTCGATTGAATAAAGTGATAATGGAAGAGAGAAAATGTAGGTTAGGGTTCAATTGTTGAATGAAAATGGTAAAAGAGATTTAGAATTAGGGAATAAGAGTTAATCCGGTTTTGGCAGAAAATCGGTTGGTTCACTATAGTAACCCCGGTTCAACTGTGGGTCAAAACAGGTGAACTCTTATTTCTGGTTTTTCACCTTGACTAGCCCGACTCAGTGGCCAGTTCTTGATCCGTTTGATTGAACTGGCCAAGCCGGGTCGGATTTTAAAACAGAGGTCTTGAACTTTACAAGAGGATATTGTTAATTAACTTGTTTAGTAAATAGAAACGAAAAGTTCAATATTATATTGTTAAAATCCAATACTCTAAAAATAATCTTATGTAAATAAATTAAAAAATTGAAAAGTATGTTGATCATAATATTTCGAATGAATTAAATTAGGACTTTATGGAAATCTAAAAACTCTTTTTTTTTTTTTTTTTCCTATAAGACTTAAAATGTTTTAAGTATTGAAGACTGAAATTTGTATTTTTCACACTGTAATCAAGTATATCTTCTTCTTTCTTTAATTTAAAAATTGAAAGTATACTCTATATAACAAGCGTTCACCTAAGAGTCAACAATCAAAGTATTAACTATAAACTCAAATACACTTTAGTTTCAATTCTATTCTTTAAATTCATGTAAGTTATAAACTTGATTGGTACGATTTTTATCATTTTACAAACTTTAATAAAATATGAATTGTGATATTGGTATATGTTTACAAAGTTCATCTCTCCATTTGTCTTATTTCTATTATCGATATTACGTAGTCAATTCTATCGTACTCGACAACTTAGATTTCAAGCAACGAGAAAAATACCTTAACCATGAAATCCTTCCCAGCTTGGATATGACTTACCAACAAATGAAAAGACCAATTTGTTAGTGTTTTTATAATAATTTAAGGATACGTACCCATATATTTATTTATGTTTGTTGATGAGTTATTTAAACAAAAGATTTATTATGTTGATGGGTTGGAGAGTTGACAATCAATCTCTCTAAGCCAACCATGTATCATTTGTTAAAAAGAGTTAAATTATTTGTATTAGATAGGGGCATTGCTCAATCATTTAAAGGGAAGAAATGTCAGAGGATTTGCATGTGCTTATGCCTAATTAATTGAGTGTGAAACACTCCATTGGTTTACGCAAAGAGGATGAGAGCAAAAGTATTCATTCTTTCTTGCATCATTAAAGCTCATTCTTGGTTCTTTCTTAGAGTCTAACAGTAAGTCAATGAATTCATCCATATTTATTTCAAATTTAAATCATTGATCATATTTATTTCAAAGTTCAATCTTGATACTTGAATTTGTTATACTAAATCATTTCGATAAGGATTATATATATTGTGAACTATATATGATAAAGAAATGAAACATCTCGAAATAATTACTTTATATTAATTTTCCTCAATGAAAATCTTGAAGAGATATTTCCGAAGAAGTGAAATTAATAATTTTTTTTCTATTAATTAATTTCCTTGAAGAAGTCGTTAACTCATGCTAGAAGAAGTAAGATTACTGATTTTATTCTTCATTCTTCCAGAAGGAGTTTCCTTCAACAAGTAAAATAGGTTATATTATTTTCTATTAATTAATTTCCTTGAAAATTGAAACAATTTGAAAGAAATATGACCATCAAAATTAAAGTGATATATAAGCAACCGCCAACTTATCCATAAATAAAGCATACAAGTTATTTTGCATTAACCTCAAATATTAGGTTATAGACCTCTCCCTTTATTATCAGATGACAAGTCATTTAACCAATGTGATTAGTTATACTCAGAGGTTTTGTATTCGAGTCACGGAAGAGAAGATTATTGGTTTATCCAAAAAAAAAAAAATTAGGTTATAGGGTTATCGTTCGAACTTGAATGTGAAGTCGTAAGTGGCCTATGACCTATTACTTAAATTTTTAACCTTGAACTTCGTATTTGGGTTTGATAGGGCCGTTTGACTGAATTTGACAAAATTTATTATATTTTAGGTAAAACATCAAATATTTGTCTCACCCCTTCATTTTTAGGCCTAATATTTTATCCCCAACAAATATTATAACCTAGATATTTAATTTTAGGTCATATTACTTGTCAATAT